TGACTGAACGACTCACGGAATGCAGCAATGGCAGCAACGATGGCGATCGCGATGAACGCGAGGGAAATGAAGGACCAGAGGACCCCCCAGCACTGCGAAGAGCCACCATACCGCTTGGCGAACTGGCTGGCGTCCGAGGTATTCACTTTGCGAAGGATCAAGTCGTCACACTATCCCAAGAACAATGATCAGTACCGAACGAGGCAAACGAATGCACCACGACCACTTAGGGCAAAAAGAGACTTACAATATCCCAGACACTATAGAGGGCCGACATAACACCGATGAAGAGCTACGTGGCAGATCCAATCAGCCACGAATTCCCCCCTCTCAATTCAAGGGAAAGACCTACCACCACCCATTTCAGAGCCTGGCCATGGGCGATGAACCAACACGCGACCAGCAGCCCCACGGCCAGGAGAATCGTGACGATCGTGAGCCAATCCTTGCGCGCCCACCACAGGGTGAGCAGAAAGCACACCCCTAAGACGATGCTGGCGACCTTGCTGGCGACGATGTCGAACCCGGCGAAGATCAACAGTGATCCGATGATCGACGAGCCCAGATAGCCGGCGGGCAGGGTCACGGCGCTGATTCCGCCCGACATGTGCGTGACGCCGCCCTCGTGCGGGTCCAGCGAGATGCTTTTGACGCGGCCACCGGTGCAGCATGCGGTGATGGCGTGGCCGAACTCGTGGAATGCGATGACGAGCATCTTGATTTTTGGTTTCGGTCGCAAGTCAGCAAGAAGAAAACCCCGAGGAAGGCAAGATTGCAGCAAAGTTCGGCATTCGTTGAATTTCTCCTCACCTTGAACGGCCAAAGCGACCAGCGAACATAGGGCAGATTCCAAAGCAACGCAATGACGACAACGTACGCTCCCATCACCCCGAGGGTCACTGCCTGGGCGTGGGTGACGCTGAGATCGCGCTTCATTAGATGCGGGCCCGCTGAGTGATAGGACCGCTGATCGAGGAGCATGTAAGACGGTGCCATGGTGGATGGAAGACTGTCCTTGCGTAGTAAAAAGGTACGGAGTAGTCTGTATTCTGTCACGCAGTGTCAAGAGAGCCACCGCAGAAGGCGTTCAAAGAAAGTATGAGTATTTATCTGTCTAGAAGTCTGGGCTCTCTTTTCCTCACATGAGCGAGCGGGTTTGGCTGCCTACGCGTTCTTTTACTACCCGGCGTGTAAATTCTTTACCCGACTGGGTTTAGCGTGTGGCTGGGGCACGGGGTACGAGTATTTTTAGTTCCGCTTTTTACGTGGCGGTGGACAATGGATGAAGCTGTTGCTTGCATTCTCTGCACGGCAGATGTCATTCAGATTCTTTATTCAAGAAGACAAGTGTGTAAAGACAGCCTTTTCCATATATACCGATTGTATCACAATCCCATTACAACGACATGGTCAGGGTCTACAATCGTTGAATGATAAGGATGGTTATACTGCCCCAATTTTCAGGCCCAACCTCTAAATCGATCCACCCCACCCGCCGCTTAATGTCCGAACTCCACAACTCTATGTTCTCTGGTTAAGGCTACACAGTAAAGTTCATAGCAACCCGTCTGAAGATAAAAGACGGACGCGAATCTCGACCATTAAACAAAACCAATAATATGCTCAAGGTGGAACAATCTCGTCGTCAGCATGCAGGAGCCAGAATGCCAGGAAGTAACGATGGAGGGGGGGTTCTAGAGCAACGATGGCAGAGTGGGTGGGTCCTTTGGCCTATTCAGCCCTACAGCAGGGTGAACTGCGTCAGTGGCGGAAGGATCTGGCACGTAGGTATCTACTAGTCCTGGAAGAATAGGCTAGTCGCTGTAGGCGCATCGCCTTCTTTGGATTATGGGGTTTCACTGTCGCATTGGCATGCATCTATTGGTGAGGTGGGCAGAAGCACTGCGGTAGGGCAGAAGCGGAGGTAGTATGTTTTCTCGGGCGGGATCCGCGCGTAGGTTACCTTGCAAGTCCTGTCCCTTCGATCCGATTGTGGACGAGTTGGAGTCACTATGCTGATAGACGTTTAAATTGGTCCTGTTTTGTATGAAGATGGGCGATAAGTAGGGACAGAAATTGAAGTATATGTGAAAATGGGAAGTAAGCAATGCCGTGTACTTTTGACCGCAGTTCATTGTAACGTTAGAGAAGAGCCACAAAAGAGAGGTACTGCACCTTACAAGCCTAGCCCCTCGCACACAGACAAGTAAGCTCCTATAATAATACTGAAAGGGAAGGGTTCTAGGTGTATATCGAAAGAAAAATGCTCAATATGCGACTTCCACAGACTAGAGAATAAATTGTTCTCCATGGGATTGTAGCTTTTATAGCACTCGGGGTGGCTGATGATGATAGTAACAACATAGTAAATTTGATTCTGGTGGTATCCCCACTAAATCAGGGGCATAAATCATCCCCAAGAACAGAATAGCCCAGGTAAGGGCCAAAGGAAAGCGAACGTGAGCTGATCAGATCCGAGGTATCATGTCCGGGGAATCATCACAATATAGCATAGCGCCAACCAAGCTACGCCCGCCCCGGCAACCTATCCAGCCAAAACATTCTCGCCCACCAGGTCATAAGTGTCAACGTCAACGCCATCCAAGGCAAAATCATCAAGTCATAACATCCTGCCAGCACCCCCTCAAAGAAAAAAAAACATAAGAAAGCAGGGAAAGAGTAAAAGCAACTCGACCCAACAAAATCAAACGATACTCCCCCCGCCCTTCCCCACCCTCCCGCTCCCCTCTGTCTTCCACACCGTCCATGCCCCGGTGATCATGACTTTCAACCCAAAGGCAAACCACAGGCTGCTTGCTAGGCTGGCTACCTTGGAGAGCCCACCGGCAGTCATGGCACCCAGGAAAAGGGCCAGGAACGCCCCGACCCGACGGTCCCGCTTGGGGTTCTTCCGGGCGAGCAGGTTTGGGTCCACCAGGAGATCACACAGCAGGCTGGTCAGCACCACCGTTGGGATCTCGTCGAACTCCAGGATGCGCGAGGCGCAGACCTGCCCGCCCGCTTGGAAGGCCAGGAGCGAGATGGGGATGATCTGCATCCATTGGATTGGCGCACGCGGGTCTTCGGGGCGGGGCGAGACAATCCTGAGCTCCACGAGGAGCGCGGCGACCAAGAGGCAGATCGACTGAACCGCAAAGGAGAGGATGAGGGAGGAGCGACGGCGGGGTGGGCCGAGGAGGCGGGACGCCTGGATGAAGATGATGTTGCTGGCGATGAAGGTACAAAGTGCGATGAGGGACTTGGCCCACAGGTAGGCTGGGTATCTCGGTTGCCCAGAGGCACCGAGGGCGATGAAGACGGTGTTCCCTGGACAGCGAGGAGTTAGGAGGCTGAGACAGATGTGACGTGGGGATTGCTGTATCCGAGATGCAAAACAAAGTAGGACATGGTTGATACATACCTGTTTGCATGCTGGAGAAGCTGCCCCAGGCATTGAAGGACAGTCCGTCCACCAGGCCACTTACAAACCCGCAGACGATCAAAGGTATATCGGCATAAGCAATATCGATCTCGGACTGGAGATGGCGAGCTAATCTGCCGTAGAAAGTTGTCTCTCCGTCGTCGTTCGATTGAGCAAGGGAGACAATCGTGCTGTTGCCTGAGGACCAAAGGCCACCTCGGTCCTCGCTGAACTGCAGATGTCTGGAATATGCCGTGACAGCTGCCGGAGCGGGCTGAATGTCACCGGCGGGAGATTGATGCATGATGAACTGAGACAGGCACCCAAGACCAGCGCCGATGAAGAAAAGAATGGTTGAGAAGCTGCCGCCTTCATCCTTGGAGCCAAACCATGGCCATCCCTATATACAGCCGCCTTTCGTACAAAGTTTGCTATCCCCACCATACTGCCTCCACGCCAAGGCACTGATAAGAGCCAGTGCAACCATGTGTCCGTGATATTTTCGTCTGGAGAGATGCATGCCTACCAGAAGCCGCGGATGTCGTGGTACACCGCCGAAGCAGCGGTTTCAGATATCAGCCCAATGTCCATCGCATACCCGCATCATCCTGGCGCGACACATGGGTTTGGAGATGGATATACCATGTCCAAATCAATCAGGCGACAGCAAACTCGGTCTCCGTCTGCATGATATTGGACATATCACATCGTCTGCCAGAGGGAGCCGCTTGGCAAACCCTTGGCACAGGCTTGTAACTTGGCTCCGTCGATGGCCTCCAAGCCCCCGGGAGGCTCTAGACATATGTCGATCACCATAAGCCAAGATCCAAGTCAAGAGAGTTTCGCCAAAGGTTGACCGGGACAGCCAGCGGGATCTTGGCAGATACGAGTTGTCCGGAAGCGTTCCTTTCTCTCATTCGAAAAGATGCAGACATCAATCATCTTGATGCCGAAAACGAGACACTTGGCCTGTCAGCAGTTCTTTATCGGGACAAGTCACGAGACAGTTGAGACAGTGGCGGGATGAACTCACAGTAATCTCGTTCCCAAGTACTCCAAACCCTGTGTTTCTGCTTGTTTTTTTTTTTTTTCTCTTTTCGTAATTTTCCTGGATCTCTCATGCAATAGGGTGATAAAACGCGAGTCTGGCGCAAACCTGTCGTTTGATCTGCAATGAGCTCGACCACCAATGACCGTGCAGCTTGGCTTCTTCAGGTGCTGAGCCACGCTGGGCAGTTTGATATCCATTCTTGGCATTCATTTCCGCAAGACAATCTGCACCAAGGCTCTCAGGCAGAATAGTAGCCAAGATGCCTGGAATGCCAGTTGATGACTCCATTCATGATGTCACGCACAAGATTAAGTTGAGACAGGCATCACACGGGACAACCCCCATCGACATCCCCGCTATTTACGTAGTGCCCGAAGAATCAAGTCATGAAAGTTAGGGGTGAGATGATCCCTCCAACCCTCATCAAGTATGGTGGGTCGCAAACCATAACGGAATAATGGAAACATAACATAGTAATCATGCCTATGAGACTAACATAACAATCATAAACTAACAGCAGTGCGTACGGTATCAAGCGCCCGTTGGTGAATGTACATCTGTTGTTTTTTCGATGCCAAATCGTAGTGATCATAGCTACAGACGCAGTGCGCTTATATGCAAATGCCATGCTGCGCGAACACGACACAAGGGTTCATCAGTCCCAGAAAAGATCCCGTCCAGCGACAGGCATCGTAAGTCCCCGGAAGACCCGTATTCGGACAATTGCAAAGAGTGAGGCAATGGTGTAACGCGGAATTAAAGATTATGTTCATGGAAGGGGGTATCTTGAGGCGTCTCGAGGTATTGACAGGGGCGGCATCCGACTTCCTACTCCGGCAAGCCCTCCTCGCCCGGCACCCGCCTGAAGGTCAAAATCCGGATTGTTCTCCAGCAGCACATCATGCTTCTGTTGAGCCGGAACAGGCGGTGGGCGCCAGCGAGGGTTGATAGGCCGTTGGGAAATGGAAGTGAAGTGGCTTACTTCACTAGTAGTGGGTGAGTGAGGGGCCTCAGCCGAGTCATCCGTCGGTTTCCGCTCACCAATGGCACCAGGTGTGAGGGCAGGAGGTAACCGTGGTGGGTTAGCTGCTGCCGACTCGTTGGGGTTCACAAATCGAGGATCCACATCTTCAAAATAGTCGGTTGAAGGCGAACGTGCGTGTTGCCGCGCGGAGCCGTAGCCATGCGCCGGCGAGGGTGCGTGGTGGGCGGGGCCATCTGCTTGCGCCCAGCCAGCACGCGGGTGATTATGCGAACTGTTTGGTTGTTAGAACATACAATCACACATGATCGATCTGTGCCTCCGAGCAGAGTAATAACTTACGGTGTCCGGCTATAAAGGCTTGTAGGGCTTATGGGCTCAGGATATCCGTCGGCTGACACTGCATGCGGCTGGGAATCGGACGTCACCCCATGCGACACAGGATCAGCAGAGCCTAGGCGTTTTGGCTGCGGCTGCATCTCAATAGCTTGTCCAGCCGCCTCATAATCCGCAGATACGGCCATCCCAATCGGACCCGGAGATGGCTGTCGATGAACACCCGCAGAGGGTGCTGGGCCGCGGTAATCGTAGTCAGTCTCAGGAGGGGGTGTCGGCCGAAACCCTGGCGAGGGACCATAACCACCAGGCTGAGGGGGTCCTCGATAACCTCGACCCATCGCTCCTGGATGTCCGCCTCTCATCGGCCCGCCCGGTGGAGGTCCTCGTGGTCCTGGCCCGTAATAACCCCCTCGGCCGTATCCTCCTCGCGGGCCATATCCGCCACGTCCACGCGGGGCAGATCCTGGAGGAGGGGGACCTCGTCGCGAACCCATACTGCCGTCAGAATACTGATTGCGGAGTCGAGCATCGGGGGGTCCGGGGCGCATCCGCGGCCCAGGTCCTTGGACAGAAGGAGGAGCGCTTTCGATATGATCCGGTGGGGCATTGTAAGCCATTACATCACCGCGCATATTGGCATATGGACCAGTGGGCAGTGCAGCATCACTAGGGGGATTCCGAGCGTTTAAAGGAGTGCGGTCATCGTCGCTGTCATGGGTTGTTGTACGGAATGTAGTGAATGTGGGTCCGACATCAGAGGTAGGAGGCGAACCAGTAACAACCGGCTCCTTGACATCGGCATTGAAGCTCTCTGGCTGGCCCAAGCCTCCTGCTGCTGCCGCGGCGTTCTGACGATTGTAAAAATTCTCCCCACTCATTTCAGCGTTTTCTGCGATGCGCCTCTTCCTCGCCTTGCGGCTGACAAGTGTCCGGCGCATGGCACATGTGACCACACCGCAAGTCACAAGCAGAATGGTGGCCACGAGCACAATCCATCCTCCCCATTTGAGATGCGGAACGAACAGCAAGATGTCGACGAGGAAAGCCAAGAGCGACACGAGCAGTGTGGGGAGAAGTAGAATTAGCAGTGCCAGGAGATATCGTGGCGAATGCGACGGGGCATGAAAGTGCGCTGCTGCCGCCAGGCACAGACAAATGAGAGTAAGAAAGGCTGCGATGGGATGGACAATCAAAATGGCTGAAAGCGACTTCCGAGTACTGGGCGGGATATTGAATTCGCTGCTGCTGGTGTTGGTCGTGATAATGTTATCTGTCACACCGGTAGTGAGTTTCCGTCAGCAACCCCACCTGGAGACCCATCTGAGAGGAAGGGCAAGAATGCGCCGGGCAGAAGAGAGAAGGCAACGAACCGTCGGCATAGCCAACATGAATGCTGGTACACTGGTCACCTTTGCAGTAACCGAAGACACCATAATCGACATTCTCGAAAGTCGCTAATGGTATGCTTTTGACAATCGGAGTCGAGATGACGGAGATGAGGAGAAGAACAAATGCGATCAGTAGGAGGATAGTAAGCGGTGTAGCGGGTTTGAGAAGCATGGCGACTCGAGAGCGGAGCGACACAGTCGCCGCGATCGAGAGGCGAGCGGAGAACCAGAAGTGGCTGGCGTGATGCAAACCGAATGGCAGGGATTGACCACAATTGATTAGAGCACGCTGAGTTAGAATTCAAGGTGATCACCAGGGAAGCTCAGAAGATGTTTTGTAACATCCAGTGCAACTCTGCATGGACTTAATGATTGCCCACCTCCTGAGACATGGAGAGAGTAGGGGAGGCGGGAAGCCTGAGGAATCCGCGACAGAAGTGGTGACAAAGAAGGGTGGATTCGGAGATTGGAGGAAGGTGAACCAATCCGCCCTACTCGGAGTAGATAAGGTATGATCTAACTAGGTAAGTAACTGACTAACTGAATCTAGAAAAAAAAAGGTAAAAAGAAGAAGAGTAAAAGAAGAATTTAATGGGAGATAATGCGGAGAGGGAATATGAGGGGGCGTGGAAGGATGAAGAGGAGGAGGAGAAGAAGAAGACCGGTGAAGGGGCGAATATTGTAGAGGGGGGAATTGAAAGAATGACTGGAGTTAGAGGGTAAGGGTAGGAAGGAGTTGGAGGACAGAGAGAGAGAGAGAGAGAGGGTGAAATGAAGGGGAGATGGGAGGAGGGAGGGAGAGAGGAAGGATGATTGACGGACGGATGCTGCCTCAGTCCAAGACTCCAAGTTAACTTGACAGTACCGGTAGAAAGACCCGACTGGACTCGACTAGACTAATGACTGGACTGGATTGAGTGAGTGAAACTGGTGGAATTCAACACTGCCCGCCGCCGCAGTGCAGGGACGGCCGGGCGGAATTGCAAGGTGTATGAGGTTCTGATTGGAGCAATGAGGCAGGATTCCTTAGTCATCGCCGCCACTCTCCAACTTGCACAACGCGAGTAATCATTCTTTACCTACATTTCCCTGTCACTGTCACTGTCACTGTCATTGCCACTGCACTCGTGGGATGATTACTTGAATCGCTTTTTCCTTGAAAATTTGCGGACGAACCAGTGGTCCTGCCCGTTGATCTGTATCTGGAAGTGGCTAACGTTGCTGCCTTTTCCACTCTACGTATCTGCCCCCTCCCCCCCGCTAATCGCTAATTGCGCCAATGCATATCCACATCTCTCCACGTCCACGGTGCCGCAGTCAGTTTGGAATGCTCCTTTCCCCCCCTCTCTGGTGCCCACGCCGGGATCTCTTCTGATTTGATAAACCAGAGATAGCGATAATGGGGCCGAGTCCCACGCACTTACTGTCCCGGTTTGACATCTCAAGATCCCACGAACCTCCATGCTTTGTGAAATTAGGATGGACCTCCCAGGACGATGAACCAGTTGCGTGCCCTTGAGCGCGAGTCTATTTTTAGAAGACCCTTGAAATCAGGTACAGCACGCACCCGTCTACATACCACTCATCCCCTAGGAACCACAAGAGGATATGCCGTCTCAAGGCAACGTACCCGAGCCGCAAGGCAGGATTGAACAGGGACTCAAATGGATACCAGCAGTGGTCGAAAAGAGGAAGGCATGAAGGTGACGACTTATCAGGACCGTACAGTACATGATGACGCGGAAGTGGGATCGATGACGATAGCCCACCGATTTTGCGACAGGCAGTTTCTCCACGAGAAGCCGAACTTGTGCTATACGCCGTGCCATACCGAGCCTGAATGTCGTTGAACACTTGCAAAACCATAGCCTGCTTGTTGAGATTCTCGAAGAACGACATATCCACTCCCGCGGGGCGGCGTGACAAACAAGCTTGGTGTAATGTGCAACTCGCCTGCATGGAACTAGTCGTTTTGACCAAGATACGATTCAGATGAAACAAAATGCGAATAGAACACGATTGTTCGACTCAGAGTCTTGTAGTGAGATCCTCCACCCACCAACAACTTCACCGTAGTCTTGACAGTGCGGAGTGTCCAAATTGAATCGATCTTGACAGGAGTGGGTGGGTGGCCTTGGATGGTTCGGGCCGTAATCTTGGCACTGTCTGGAGTTTGGGCTGTCCATCGACTCATAGATTCATCTCTCTTTCTGTGTGCCACCGCAATCACCAAACACCAAACACCAAACAGACAGACACACCACGGCATTCATCCGATCAAGCCTTTCCCGTCCAAACTAAGTACGTTTCTCCAATAGCTGGCGGCCATGTCAACCCTAGATATAGCAGCACTACTGCCATGTCGGCGTCCTCTATTGGTCCTGTCTTCGTTGGACCTGCGGTGGCTGGGCTGCGGAGGCTGGGAAAGACAGGCGCCCGCATCGCCAACCACCTCGAACAGTCAATAGCAGCCCAATTCAGAGCTCTTTTCTCCCTTGCTTCCTGTCCCGACCATCTTGTCTTTCTTGTCTCTCCCTCGACCGGCTCGGGTCCTACGCGCTGGGAATGTCCATGAGATATCTCATACCGCGTTGCAAGTGAGCGATTGAAACACATACATTCCTCGGTTGATCCCGACCGTCATGTTAGCTCCGGGATCGGGCAATGTGAGTCTGCGGACTGTCAGTTGTAAGTGGAATGTCGGATTTGTTCGACAGCCGGCTAGAGATCCCAACCAACCTTGGTCGATTGTGGTTTGAACCGATGGCCTGACTCCATGCAGCAAGTAGACCGCAGATGATACACACCGAGGATCAACAATCCGTTGCCGCTTCAGATGACTATTACTCTTTCTCGAGCCAGAGCTCCAGCGCAAGGTCTCGGACGAGTGGCAGTCGAGTCAATGTCGTGCGCTATGCAACCCCCAACTCTCGACCTGCATCCCGTCCTCCTTCCCCTAGCATATCAAGAACGCATCTCGCCCCGCCGGTGGCTGGTGCGCGATCGCAACCCTCTATAGACTCCTCGAGCGACAACAGAATCTTCCTGACACCCGCGTCCCAAACAATCCGCTCCGTCGAGGATAGAGAAGTTCACCTGAACCCCATGTCCCATACCACATCCAGCCGGGCTCCCGCCGACAGCTACGCGGGACGCCCACCAACTCCTGGGATGGACGACTCGCCTTATATTCATTTCGCCATTAGCCAGCTGACGCGTGATGAGGAAGTGGCGGGCCCTAGGAGGAGAAGTTCGATCGTGAGCCGTGACTCTCCCGCTGAGCCGCTGCTCTGGGATGATGGCTTAGGTTGCTTCATCCGCTCACATGGACCTTCCTCACCTCCGGACGTCAGACACCGGCCGAAATCTCCTATCTCCGCAAGAAGGTCGCCCCAGAAGTCGGTTGACCCAGAATCTTTCATTCCAGTGGATCCCCCAGAGGAAAGCCTACTCTACCCTGCATTGGACTATGTGCCTCCTGTATTGCGCACATGGGCACTGGCCGCCCTCACAATCTGCTGCTTGCTCATGATTGCCGGAATTATTTTCTGCAATGTCTGGTCCCCAAGGCATCAAGGACTTTGGGACTATGAGAGACAGGGTGGTGCCCATTACTTCGTGATGCAATTTCTACCGCAGATTCTAGGCATGTTTATCACCATCTGGACGTTCGTGGTTCAGGCTGCCGTTTATCGCACCATGCCTTTTGCTATCATGGCATCGGAGCGGCCGTACGACCGCATTCTGCAGAGGCTGCCAGTCACGTCACGCAACTTCATTCTACCTGATTTCTCACATTTTCGGCATGGAGAGGCGCTAGTTGGATTCTCTTTGCTCTCAATGTGGCTCTCAAGTTTCATCGCATTGCCGCTCCTGAGTTGTTTGTTCCAGGCCAAGTGGTATGAAATTAACGGCCAAGGCACGTGGCGATGGGCCTCCGTTCTGGCTGTGGGCTGGACGCTGGTGGCAGTTTACGGACTGACGACTATTGGGTTGATTTTGCTCATGCTTCGCTTTTTTCGTACATGGTCAGGCTTAATGTGGGATCCTGTCAGCCTGGCGGATCTCATTTCGGTGATTCAAAGGTCAAACATTCTGCATGACTTCGAACAGTCCGAAACATTGCCGCAGGTTGGGAATTCTCTCGAGCCCCGGCTCCTTCGACTGGGTTATTGGCAATTATCAAATCGCGGCGAGTTCTTCTATGGTATTGGCGAGGCTGATGCCCCGATCCGAACACCATCCCTTCACCACCTGGAAAAGAATCTTCAGATGCAGTCGCACGGGCTGTCCAAGGTCTCAGTTGATCTTGAGCGCCAGGGTATGGCCGAAAAGGGCGAATACCACGAGAATCTATACACTCCTTCTGTTCGCTACCGCTGGATTCCATGGTTTCTCAAGGATACATCTGTGATAGCTTGGACGGTAATCATATGTGCTTTGTTCGTCGCTTTTGTACTGGTTAGCTTCATCCATGACGCCATCCGAGGAGGCTTCCCCCCACGGTTGCCCACATTGCCTTCCACCGGCGGCTTTTCGTCTTCCAACTTCTGCTACAGCTTTGTGCCGGCTCTTATCGGCAACGTCTTTTTTCTCGCATGGCAGCCCATCGACGTCTTCTTTCGTGCGTCGCAACCCTTCGCCTCTTTGTCGTCACCCAACGGTGCACGTGCAGAGGAGAGCCTGTTACTGGCGTATCCGTCGCATCTTCCGTTCCAGGTGACTATCCTGGCTGTCGCCAACAAGCACTACAAAGTGGCTTGGATCTCGTTCATGAGTATTGCGTCTGCCGCCATTCCCATTCTCGCCGGAGGCGTTTTCATTGCGTTGAATTACCCGTCCGAACACGCAATCAAGATTGCAGCATCAATGCCTGCTTTCTACGCGATGGTGGTATTCTGTGCTCTCTATACTGTGTCCTTCTTGTGTATCTGGCCTCGCCGTCAACGCCACCTCCCTCACGATATTAGCACGCTGGCCGATCTGATCAGCTTCCTCTACCAGAGCCCACTCCTCGCCGACAAGATCTTGCGTGAGCCGAGGAGCAAAGCAGACCTGGTCACGCGACTGGTTGTCGCACCACCCGGGGACCGCGAGCATTCTGTGTATGGCTTCGGGATATATGTTGGCCGCGATGGCAAAGAGCATCTAGGAATCGATCGCCTTGACCGTCCCGGTCGGACCGATATGCTGATCAACACGGAATATACGAGGTAGTCTACGTACTCGCACGACAGTTGAGGAGTAGACAAAACCTGGTTGGACATGCACTCGAACTCCTACGCTCAATCCCAGCCCCTCTTTTTATGCCAATGATTCATGTAATATGAACGATTGATGAAACTTACGGATATCCCTGCATGTGTTACGGTGTTACGAGCCCAAGTTTCAGCCCTGTATGATGGCCTACTAATGATAATGAGACATATTAATGTACTGATGTATCTATGAAATATGATATTGCTTTTCTTTGTGACCGAACTCCACTTTTTTGCTATGTTAAATCTTGTTGCATGATCATTTTGAACTTCCTACGTGGAAAATCTTCATGGCGTTTATCAATTCCTGGGTGTAGTTCTGTGGATTTTCTTAGCAAGGAGCGACAGCTCGGCTGGTGGACTTATCACGTGAGCGGATAGGACTAACCATGTCTGTTATAGTGCAGGCTTCCACTCATCATGGATCTCGACCTTATGTACGGCACTGAACTCCGTACCTGATCTGACCATCCGAACCAACCGGATACATGCTGCACTTGAGAATGCTTGTGATGTCCAGATGAAACAGAGATCCGCGTGGCAGAAAATACATGTGTCTCGACCGCTTGGTATTGAACAATGCACTTGAAGTGTCGATGAAGTACGGAGTACACGGATAACTAGTCCGATCCCAAATTTGTGGGCTATCCAGACTCAGGGGCCTCCACCATGGTCTATCGTGGTAAGCCAAGCACCGGGTGTCAGAACTGCCGGACAAGGCGTATCAAGGTTAGTGTCTCGGATTCTGTAAACGACTACTGTTAATCGCCACTCAGTGCGATGAAACTCGCCCACACTGTAGAGCTTGTGTGCGGACGAATCGGTCATGTCCAGGGTATCTAGATCCTTTTGATGTTATGCTCCGGGATCAGGTCGCCTTCAAACGCAAGAAGCGAGACGCTCGTGTTTCAAATGCAACCCCAGCGAGTCTGGCCAAACTGGCTTCTCTAACCACCTCAGTGATTGCGGCAGCGCCTGAAACCGCCGTGTCCACCAACGTGACAAGGGCCGATTGGATGGACATTGTATTCGACAAAACCTGCAATATCCCGAGAAGCGTAAACCTGCCTCTTGAAGACACGGTGGCATCATTGTTCTTTAGCTCCTATCTCTATTCACCCAAAGATCCACTGATTCGGGAAGGGTTCATGGAAATGGTGCCCCATGCTTACGCAAACGCCCAGCCTGGGTCGCACTTGAAACTCATCACGTTGGCGGTGTCTTTCTTCTCGGTGTCTGCGTGGACGGGCAATCGGTCATATCTCCGAACCGCTGAACACCTGTGCGTGCAAGCGATATCTAAAACTAGAGAAGCGATTCAAGGCGACATCGACCGGAACCAGGATGAGATTCTGATGACGGTGCTCTTGCTCTTAATTTATGAGGTGACTAGCCCATTTATTCATTGAATGCTCGGATCTGATGATATGGCCAGGAATTCTCAGCTATGAAGGAGCGCAGGGCCCCAGGCAAGACACATTTACGGGGCGCAATTGCGTTGATAAATAGTCGGAGTCAAGATCAGCGGGAGACGGACCTCTCGATAACGTTGGAAAATGCAGTACATGCACAACTTGTAAGCTCTAGTGGCGTGCAGCTCATCGGACTTGTTTGACTAATGATTCAGATCAAAACAACCAAAGGGCTCGCGTATCCTGTCATGCAGACCCCCAAGGTCTGGCCGCCCGCGCCAGTTGCGCCCGAGTCTGCCTCAACTCAACTGTTGATGGCCACATCTGACCTAGTCAGCCTGCGACAAGCATGGGACAAGCTTGTCTTGGACCAGCCAGCCGCCAATGTCACCGAGCTCGAGGAGATCCTCGCTCGGGCGAGGCATCTGGACACCAAACTTGTAGCTTGGACACACGCCCTCCCCTCCCACTGGCACCCCGTCTCCGCCACCATGATATCGGATTCCATCCGCAAGGCAGGCATGTACAAGAACCGTTGTGACTGCTACGCGGACATCTGGATCGCCAGCACCTGGAATTTCTACCGCGACTCGCGCATTGTCATCCAGAACATCATCCTCGATTGTCTGCGCCTCCTTCCGCCGCCCATCCGCACAGACGACATTCAGAGCGCCCTGGACACCATCCAAGACCTTGCTACCGGCATCTGCGCCACCATCCCATACTTCCTTGGCAGCCAGTCGAAGCCAGCCCAGATGGGCATGGAGAAGATCGACTATCCCGAGGCGGATGCACGCCGGGTCACCGCGGGCCACCGTCAGACATCGCCACTTTTGGGAGGATGGCTGGCGTCCACGAATCTGTTCAATATGACCATGCTACCTTTGACGGATGAGCTGCATGCTTGGATCTTGGAACAGAAGCAGCGGGTGCTGCGGATTTATACATTTGGCTCCGTGGAGGGCGTTCAATGATAGAGCTTGTCCCGGGCTATTTTTTTTGGCCAGCTCAACGATTTTTCTGGGTCTCTCTGCCTTCCACTGGATCTCTTCCGTTGGCAACTGGCCGGACGAACGGTTGGAACACCATAGGAGGCCTTGCATCACCGTCGATTTTTAGTGTGCCCACAACTCTTATACACCTCTGACGAAGCGAGAGACCTCAGCCGAAAACGGAGGCATACTTCACAAAACCACCTTGATACGGCAAGACCTGTGTCATGTTGCTGTGCGCATCACTGGCGAAGTCGCAACAGTCTTGACCTACATGATACCTACCAGTTCTTATCCCCGGCTCTACCCATGTCAATGCGAGATCTCAAGACATAAATCACTCAACAATTTAGCAGCTCATTACAGAACTTGTGCAGCTACTGATCAGACGCTCCACCAGAAGCAGTCGCCCAGAGCAAACTAAAACATATGACCGGCCTGCTAGATTTCCACGCGGCTCTAATAGAATAACCGCATGCGACGCGAACCTCCTTACTATAAGTTCTGCAGTAGAACAGACATGATTGCAGAACTCGAGTATACATTGTACAGATATGCACATAAAGGAGACAATAGAAATCTGATACTCAGGCTCTATTGGAGAAAGAAGAGCCACTTGGTCCAGCACAACCGAGCCATAAGTGGGATATCGTCGTAGAAAACAACGCCTGTACCGGACCTTATTGTCGTGAGTAGGATCTAGTAGATCCGGACCCTTCCACCCGAAGTCACAGCCGTCTTCAAGACGCATACTCGATAAAGGTCAGAGAAGTGGGTCTACAATAGACAAGCTATCATGTTATCCACGTGCCAACTTAGTGCTCCGATCTGGAGGCAGCGAGAGCGGATATTCATGAGACAGGCAAACACTCTCATAAAATATAGAGAGCCATCATCAGTAAAACACTTTCCATGCAAAAGCCGCACGAAGAAATCACGCAGAGGGAACAAGACCGAAGCGCAGAGAAGTGTCGACATGACACATACACGGAGTTAGTGGAGATAAAACGCTCTGCCCTGCTCTGACTAAGCCACCATCGCAACTCCTCTTTCTCCTCTTTCTCCTCAACCCTCGACAAACAATCCCCTCACCCTCAACAACACCCTCACAAACAAACCATTCAATCCTCATGCGCGAACAATAAGCATCAATTGAACTCCACCTCACCCACGTCCACCACCACCACCACCACCACCACAACCAAAACCAACAATACAACCCTCTCAAAATGGGCCTCCTCCGCTCCTTCATCCCCGACCAACAAAAACCCTCCACCGCATCCAACACCGACACCCCCTCCGACCAAACCCCCACAAACACCAACACAACCCCCTCCTCATCCCGCCCAGCAACAGAAGAATTCGACCCTCCGCTCCCCAAACTCTGGACGCCGCAAACGAACCTCAAACTCCTCCTCGGCGGCACCGCCTTCCTCGCCCTGAGCCTGCTCACCACCCGCCGCGCGATCCGCCGCCGCCGCCTCGCCGCCATCCCGCCCTTCTACACCAGCGCGCCCTACCACAAGCCCACGGTTAGCGGGGGCGTCGAGGCGTTCGAGGCGCTCAACCTGGCCACGCTGAATGTGCTGGCGTTCGCGATGATGAGCACCGGGGGCGTGCTGTACGCGATGGATATTAATAGTGTCGACGATATGCGGCGGTATGTGCGGCGGGTTTCGTTGTCGGAGGCGGATGCCGCGAAGGGGTTGGTGGAGGGGGATCGGGAGATGGAGAGGGAGGTGGAGGCGTGGGCGGCCAAGGTGCTGGGGGAGAAGTTTGGGCGGGAGTTGAGGGCGCAGCGGGAGAGGGAGGTGGAGGATGCTAGGGGTTTGGTGGACAGGGAGGGGAAGAAGGAGGAGTGAGGGTTTTCTCCATTCTGGGAGGGGGAATGGATATATAGGTGGATTGATGAAGATGGGTAGGGTTGGAATGGGATGGGATGGAGTTTTTTTATGGTCACGGGTGCTTCGGGATTGGACAGGACATCATCTCTACTTTTGCATGACAACATACACATACATACCCTACTCTTGTATTTACGCATTCTTACGGGCTGGAGCTCGAGATCAAGACACACAAAATGCTATGATCAGTAATGACAACCACCAACGTTCCTATAACTACCCATCTACTGCTCCATCTGTTCGTATCGCTCCCGCGCCGTCTGTCGCGTCTTCTCCAGAAACTCATCGTACCGACCCCGCGTGTTGCGCCCCGCCTCCTCCGTCGCATCGCCCAGCTTGCTCCCTTGCGCCCCCAAGCCCACCCCCTGCGCATACACCTCGGTCGCAATCGGCGCCGTCATCCCCGTGCCCTGCGCCCCCAGTCCAGACCCCGCGGACCAGCCCATCTTGCTGAGCAGCGAGGCACCCTTGGACGCTGCTGGCACTGCCGGCTCCTCTTCCTTGGCCGCAGGGGCCGCGGGCCGCGGCTTGGCCCCTCCACCAGCCTTGGACCGGCCGAACGCCTGTCGCCGTTCGCGGGCGCGGTCGCGATACTCCGTCGGTTGCGGGATGATGCCGTGCTTGACGAGCTTGCGCGTGGCATGCGCGATGCGCTCCTCATCCAGCAGATTCTCGCGGTGCATCTGACTGAGGCGTTCGTGCAGGTTGACCTGGGCGGTGGACTTGAATTTCCGCATGCACAGGTAGCAGCAGTTCTGGGTGGGGTTGGCATAGGATTGACTCGGGGGCGCGGCGGGGTCCAGCGGGGATGCTGCAGTCTCCGACGTCGGCTGCTGCTGCAGCTCCCCACCGCCGGGTTTGTCCTCGCCATCCTTCTTCTGGATCCCGTGCAGCTCCGCGTGGCGGTTGCTCCAGAACTGCAGATGCGACGGCACTGCCATCTTCTTGGCCGCGGCACTCGCGGCTGCGTCGGCCTTTCGCTTCTTGGCCTTGTCGGCGTCCTTGCTGCCCTTGGTGGGTCCCTCCTGACCAGCCGCCCTGTCTCCCTTGCCGCTGTCAAGTTCCGCTGTGGACACCGTAAGCTCTTTCACATAGGCCTCTTCGTCCCAGTACATGAGTTTTAAGGCTGGGTTGTTCAGCGGACTGAACGTGAATCGTTCATTGTTGGGGGTGGGATTAAGGACCGGGACAAAAACACCAGCATGGATGTAGCTGACCAAAACCGGCCGCGAGGAGATGGTAAACTTGTCAAATGAATTGAGTCGGGTGATGGCAGCTTGTGCATCCTAGGACTATGTTAACTAGGCCTTGGAGCTGCTAAGGGCGACATACCTGAATAGTCGCGAATTCCGCAAACCCGTAGCGCCAGCTCTCGTTGGTTTTGCGACCTCTCACAAGCAGAACACGGCGAATGGAGCCATCTCGAGCCCCGAGGTTCGAGTCTCCCGTGGTCGAAGCCACTTTAGCTCCCTTCTTCGCACCTCCTGTGGCATCGTTGCTGGAAGACAAAGGACGGTACAACTTGGCCACACCCTTGGCCAGCAGTTCTTCGGTGACCGACGATTCCAGTCCGCGGAAAAGAAGGAACTGCGACGGTTGGTTCTCGGGCGCCGCATCATTATCGCCGTGGTTCTCGACTCTTGGGGCCGGCAGTCCAGGAGGACCGGCGGGGCCGCCATCTGGTCCGAATAAGCTTACTGCGAGTTGACGTCCTCATGAGCAACATACCAGGTCGAGGTGCGTGACAACGAAAGCACTTTTGACGAGTAGAATAATTGACGATAGCACACTAGAGAAGTTAGCGCGTGAATCAGGCTTAGTGGCTGAATTCCGGCCTTACCATCATGCAGGTCCAGTCAGCCTCCGCGCGGGCCCGGGCACGGTCTTCTCTCTCGCGACTGTAGGCGATGCGCACCTTAGTGCCGCGGTCGTTATGTGGATTGGGCCCATGGAGGTAGATGTTGGGAAAATTGCGTTCGACAAACGCCCGCGACTGGTTGAGATCTCGGAATCTCAAAAAGCCCAACTGACGTGAAACCTCTGAAGCCACGATTAGCTTGACGGGGGCAAAACAGACCAAGCATCACCTACTCGTCTGTCGATCACGAATGACACGGACGTCATCCAGACCATCCACATTGTAGAATTCTTTCAACTCATTCGTGATCTGTTCAACACCTCGACCAGACATCTCAGCCTCTTGCCATCAAATAACGGCGGTGTTCCGGAGGGCGCCGCTTTAGGGCGCCGGACACAGGAACATAAAAAGGGGAAGGAGTTATCGCACGTCTTCTTCCACCATATCCACCGGTAACCCATCCATCATCACCTCCCGACTCTCTTGCCCGTAATGCGAATGCCGGCCTCGGCGAGGGCTGCGACTGCGGCTGCGACTGTAGCTTCGGCTCCGGCTGCCGTATCCGGGGGAGCGGTAGCCCTCGCGATCGCGGTCCCTGTACGCTGGTCTGCCGCGCCGCGGTGGAGGAGAGCGCGAGGAGTGGCGGCGATAGTCATCGCGGTCCCGGCTGCGGTAACGAGGTCTAGAGTTGGGTCGATCTCTGGTATGGTCTCCTCTTCGCTCTGAAGCTGGTCCCCGCGGAGGAGAGTGGGGCAAATCTTTCTCATGGCGAAGCAGAGTCAGTTACTACCATGTTCCAAAGCAAAGAAAAGATATGTGGACGGTTCATCAAAGCATAGCCTTTGCCCTGTGCTACTGGTTTGCGGGGAGGAGGGCGTAATACCGCCAGGCGAGCGCGATCGGGAAGGCGAGCGATCGTCGTACATTCGGCCGTCCCGGTCATCGCGGCGAGGAACAGGTCGGTGCGAAGGTCCCGAAGGAAACCGGTTATCCTCGGGATTGAAATGCGACATGATGGACCGTCATTGAGGAGTGGACGAGGGAAGAAGTTGGGATGCGCTTGGAGAGATGCCGTCCGCGGCATCAAGGCGCCCGTGCGGCAGAATCATGGGCCGCCTGGGACACCGCTTACTGATCACAGTCGAGTCCGTCCATCCGAGGTCGGTTATCCTACTAGCTCGTTTTGTCTTAGCGGCTCGAGGCCTGGAGTATCTCCATGAGTCCATTCATTAATATTCACCATCCATTGAGGATGCTCTGTGGGCACCAAGAATTGATTTCTTGCTGAAGCTTACATGCTTCGGGAGAGGGCGACACTATTTGCAGAATTTCACCGAGGATCAACACAGTTGTCATGTCATGGAAGCTATCGACTAGAAGCTCAGCAGTGTTCTTCCGCATGATACGAGTGTGATTGAGTCTTCCGGAAGAAAACATTGATCTTCTCTTCAGAGATGCGATGTCATGTACGGTGTGTATAGTTTGGCTGATGGATATGCTGACTGGGGATGTCCACGGGAGCCGAGCAGCCGAGGGGGCGGCGCCCTGTAGGGCTGAGCCTCCCGGGCCAGGGTCCTTCTTCAGGAAGATCACTTGTAACACACGAATTAACCATGATTTATGAATTGGGGATAGACATACAGCCACGTATTCATGCATTCCATATTTTCGACCACCTCCTTTGGTCCCATGAACATGATGAACATGGCCAACCCGGTTCGAGCACACCAAACAAATGAAGTCATCAAGTCAGAGCTGACTTTTGGATCTCCTCGGGCCCCGAGATCCCCACCCCCGAGCCTTTTTCAAGCACCTTTATTTCTGTTGCCTGGACTGACTGCCCAATCGGCAGCTCTGGGTCAGGGTCTGGTGGAGATTGTAGGGTTCTAATTGTTTCTCTTACCATACTTCTTCAAACCCCGAGACTGTCCGTATGACATGGGTAGTGCAATCACCAGGGGGAGAGGCGCCTCCATTCCAGGCAGCAAAAGTAAGCACCCGCCGTGGCTGAGCTCTGAACTCTGCTGTTTCTTCGGTCCTATTTCTGAGCCACACACAATTGAGAGAAACTCCCGATTCGCCCTTCATGGACCTGAGCTCATATAAGACGGTCGACCCCAACGGCTAAAGCGTTCGCCCTGTGGTGAATGGATCTGAATTGCCCAGTTTTGGCAGTCACTACTACGCCATGAAGCTCACGGGGATCTCGCTTTCGACGCTGCTTGCTCTCGGGTCTATCCCTGGTATGACTCTCAGACCTTGTCATGCCGTACTCATCCTACAATACTGACTTTGGACTTAGCAGGCAGCGTGGCTGTACCTACCTCAGGTGATGTGACATTTGAAGACCTCTCACGACGTGCCCTCCCCAACGCCCCCGATGATTATACTCCCAGCAACGTGACCTGCCCCTCCAGCAGGCCGACGATTCGAAGCGCATCCACGCTGTCGAAGAATGAAACAGCATGGCTGGATGTGCGCCGTCAGCAGACCATCTCTGCCATGAAGGACTTCTTCGGGCACATCAACATGAGCGACTTCGATGCTGTGTCGTACATCACCAACCATGCTTCCAATGTGTCCAACCTGCCCAACATCGGTATCGCCGTGTCCGGTGGCGGCTACCGAGCCTTGACGAACGGCGCAGGTGCCATCAAAGCCTTCGACAGCCGCACGGAGGGATCGACCCGGAGCGGCCAACTGGGGGGTCTCCTGCAGTCCGCAACGTACCTATCGGGCTTGTCCGGAGGCGGCTGGCTGCTGGGCTCGATCTACATCAACAACTTCACCACCATCTCCAACCTACAAACCTACAAGGAAGGCGAAGTGTGGCAGTTTCAAAACTCGATCATCAAGGGGCCCAAGACCAAGGGCCTGCAGATCTGGGATACGGCGAAGTACTACGAGGAACTGGTCAAGGTGGTGGCCGGGAAACGCTCAGCCGGGTTCAACATCTCCTTCACCGACTACTGGGGCCGCGCGCTCTCGTACCAACTCATCAACGCCACCGACGGCGGACCGAGCTACACCTGGTCCTCCATCGCGCTGACCCAAGATTTCAAGGACGGCAAGATGCCCCTGCCGCTCCTGGTCGCAGACGGACGCAACCCAGGCGAGACTCTGATCGGCAGCAACTCCACCGTGTACGAGTTCAACCCCTGGGAATTCGGCAGCTTCGATCCGTCAATCTTCGGCTTCGCGCCCCTCGAATACCTGGGGACATACTTTGAAGACGGGGAGGTGCCCTCCAACACCAGCTGCGTGCGCGGCTACGACAACGCCGGGTTCGTCATGGGGACGTCGTCGAGCCTGTTCAACCAGTTCATCCTGAAGCTGAACACGACCGACCTGCCCAGCACGCTCAAGAACATCGCCGCGGACCTCCTCGCGGACCTAGGCGAGCGCAACGACGACATCGCGATCTACTCGCCCAACCCGTTCTACGGGTACCGCGACGCGTCGGCCGCGTACGAACAGACCCCGGACCTCAACGTCGTCGACGGCGGCGAGGACAAGCAGAACCTACCACTGCACCCGCTGATCCAGCCGGAGCGGCACGTGGACGTGATCTTCGCGGTGGACTCGTCCGCCAGCACGGCCAACAGCTGGCCCAACGGCAGCCCGCTGGTGGCGACGTACGAGCGCAGCCTCAACGCGAGCGGCATCGGCAACGGCACGGGCTTCCCCAGCGTCCCCGACAAGAACACCTTCGTCAACCTCGGGCTCAACACCCGGCCCACCTTCTTCGGCTGCAACAGCTCCAACCTCACCGGCCCCGGCCCCGCGCCGCTCGTCGTCTACCTCCCCAACTATCCCTACACCACCTACTCCAACAAGTCGACCTTCCAGCTCCAGTACGAGATCGCCGAGCGCGACGCCATGATCACGAACGGCTATAACGTCGTCACCGCGGGCAACGGCTCCCGGCCCGCGTACGCCGACTGGCCCACGTGTGCCGGCTGCGCGGTGCTGGCGCGCTCGTTCGACCGCACCGGCACGGACGTGCCGTCCGTCTGCGCCGCTTGCTTCGAGAAGTACTGCTGGGACGGCACGCGGAACAGCACCGAGCCCGCCGCGTACGAACCGAGTGTGCTGATGGCGGACGCGAAGAAGTCCGGCGCCGGGGGCAGCTTCGTCGTGGCGGCGAGGTGGTTGTACATAGTCCCTGTGGTTGCAGTGTGGGCTGGCCTGGTCTAACGACCACCACCGGACCACAATTTCCCAGCAAGAGAATTAAATCATAAGTCGTCCCAACAGGAAGGCTGGCCTTCACGGTCATAAGCTCGGAGTTACTCTTCCTCCCGCAGTAATCGAACACCCAGACCCCAACCCCTCACAACCAACGCTTCGCCTTCAATTCCAGAAAAATGATAATCTCCTATCCAATGAAAGGCACATCGTGGTGGGGTGGGGTGGGGTGGCAAGTTCATGGGAGGATCTTTTGGGGGGTGGTGGGTATCCTCATCTGTGGAGGGAGGGTGGAGGGGGTTGTGGGTTGTCTGCGTGTCATAAGGAAAAGGAGGAACCCGCGACGGATGGGATAGATAGTGAGTTGAGGAGACCAATGCTGAGATGAGTGGTTGCTGCCAGGAGAGCGAGAGCTCATGGGAAAGTTTACCTCCATTTGGCAGATGTTGTCTGTGTCGGTTTTATCGCATGAAGTAGACCTAGCAAATGCATCTGCTCTGGGTTGGTTTGGTGTCGGAGTAAAAGAACATGGGAATGTGGGGTTGAGTTATTAACTTCGCAGATTTTGCTACCTAAGTCACCAACGATTGCGTACTCTGGCATCTTATCACACCTTTACCCAATCTCCCTACCAGGTGAGGGGAGTATCCCATGAAACCATATCTGCTGAGACGCAAACTCCAGGATCTAAGTGCATGAGCCAAGACCCAATCCCGATCAGAAAGTGCAGTCATCTTATTAAAAGTCTTGTTAAAATCATGTAGTTTACTTCGCGCACGTCGGAATCATTCGTTTCCAGCCCGTCATCAAAATCATTTCACGCCTGCACCAGCACAACCACCGCCTCATACGGACGGAGCGACCATTTCCCACCACTCCGGATTCTCCCCCCGGCCGACTCGGCGCTCTCGTATGTGTTCAAAACCACCCCCTTCACGGCCCCCACCCCGTTGGCGACCGGGTCCCACTCCAGCGTCTGGTCGGTCCAGTTGGCCAGCACCAGCGCCTTCTGGTCCTCGTACTGCCGGGTATACGCGAAGACCGCCTGGCTCTCCCTGTCGACCAGCGTGTAGTCCCCGTAGACAAAGATGTCGAGGTACTTCTTCCGCAGCCCCAGCACGGAGGCCCAGTAGTGGTACGTCGACTGCGGGTCCTTGACCTGCGCCTCGGCGTTGACGCGCTCGGAGTCGGGGTTGACCGCCATCCAGGGCTTGACGTTGGGGCCGGTGAAGCCGCCATTCGGGCCCGCGGACCATTGCACCGGGGTGCGGGCGTTGTCGCGGGATTTCTTCTGGTATTCCTGGCGGGCGATCCTCTGCGCTTCGGTGTCGTCGGGTTTCTGTTTGAGGAGTCTGTAGTCCACGTACAAGTTAGTCTCTATTCCGCATGTTTTCTTATTTTCCGGGCAGAGCATCTTACCTATGCCAGTGGTTGAGACAGTCAATGTCCTTGTACTCGCTGATATCCCACTCCACGGGCACATTCCTCATCCCCAGCTCCTGGCCCTGGTACACAAACGGCGTACCAGACTGCAGCGCCAGGATCGTCGCCAGCATCTTCCCGGCCTCGGTGCGGTACTCCTCCTTCGCGTTCGTGTACCGGTCAATCGAGCGCGGCTGATCGTGGTTCTCCCAGTACAGGGCATTCCAGCCATCATTCTCGTACATGAACTTCTGCCACGTCTCGAAGAAGCTCTTGAGGTCGGTGAGCTTCCAGCTGCCGGGCCGGAACTTGTCGCCGTACGGGCCGTGGTCGATGTCGACGTGCTCGAAGTTGAAGATCATGTTGATCTCGTTGCGGTCGTAGCGCACGGCGCGGAGGACCTCGTCGGTGTCGCGAACGAAGGGCATCTCGCCCACGCTGAAGGCGTCGTACTCCTTCAGGATCTGGCCGATGCCCTGCAGGTACTCGTGCAGTCGCGGCCCGTTGGCGTAGTACTTGTCGCCCCACTGCCAGGGCGTCCGCGGGTCCTGGACGGGCGCGTCGGGAAACCGCTGGTCCTTGCTGATGAAGTTGATGACGTCCATCCGGAACCCGTCGGCGCCCTTGTCCAGCCAGAAGCGCACGATGTCGTGCACCGCCTGGCGCACGGGCGGGTGCTCCCAGTTGAGGTCGGGCTGCTCGGTCGCGTACAGGTGGAGGTAGTATTCCTGAGTGTGCTCGTCCCACTGCCAGGCGCTTCCTGCAGGGGTGATGGTGGAAGTATCAGCGTGGCGTCTCTATTTATGAGATGTAACGCGGAAAGTTACCTTGGAAGTGTGAAACCCAATTGTTGGGCGGTTGGCGATTGCCCTGCTCGTCATACCGCGCCGGCTTCCAGACGTACCAATTCCGATACTCGTTGTCCTTGGAACTGCGCGACTGCTTGAACCACTCGTGCTGGTCGCTGGTGTGGTTGACCACGAGATCCATGAGCAGCTTCATGCCCCGCGCGTGGCAGCCCTGGATGAGGTTCTCGACGTCCGCGACCGTCCCGTACTCGTCGGCGATGCTGTAATAATCGGAGATGTCGTAGCCCATGTCGACCTGGGGCGACTTGTAGGAGGGGCAGAGCCAGACGATGTCGACGCCCAGGTCCTTGATGTAGTCCAGCTTCGAGACGATGCCGGGGATGTCGCCGATGCCGTCATCGTTGCTGTCCTTGTAGGAGGCGGGCCAGATCTGATAGACGGAGCTCTCCTTCCACCAGGCGCGGTGAATCTGGGAGGAAGGTTTGGGCATGACGGGCTAGATGTGAATTATGGGGGGTGGTAAGGGATGGATGACCGTGAGGATTGAGGATAGAAGGAGGGGTCGATCATGCTTCTTATTTGTTTGGTGTTGCTGGCAATGAGGGGCAGTGCTTCTGCGCTGTGCTCCATCGAAGATCAACTCGGGGGTTGTCTCGCATGCGGAGAAATTCTCGGTGGGTTTGGTTGTCCACTTCTCCCAGGTGGTATGCCACTCATGCTTCGGGTCTGGGTGGATCAATTGTCCACCCACTTCCAGTCTCTAATGGACATCTGGTTTACACATGCACCCACTTTTTTGGGGACATGAGAGGGTGGGGATGGGATGAGATCGTCCCCGGTTGTTTTGGAGGGGCCCGGTGATGCAGTGGCCAACTGGCAACCGCCACTATGCAACTCATCCTGCCTCTCGGTCCGACTTCTGACCAATTGACTTACCCCTCAACCATGGTATGCAGATTTGAGCATGTCGAGCATGTGAACTATAAGTACAAGGGTGTGCTTCCAGTACATACCCAATGAAAATAGCATTAGCAGCATTGAGGAATTGATCTCGAATTGAATCTAAATCATAGACACTGCACACCCGTTAGCCTAACTAGTAACTTACTGAGTCAGGTAGTTATAGAACTGTAGATCATTCAGGCACAATTATGAACCGGAATTATCCCGCCGGCAATCGGTTCAACTCCGTCCTCAGCTTACTACCACCTGCTTTAAAAGCAAGGCTATCATCTTCATGAACAGAGCCGAATCTCATCTTTAACGCGAATCCGACTAGGTCCGAAGACTAATAGAATAAGAACAATCACCTACAACATGGCCATCTACCACATCGGTACCTCAACCCCGCCATCTCTCCATAGTCCATACATTCCACCCCCTGCCCACATTGTTGGAACTAACACTTCCAACCAGTCCTCTTCCGCCTCAAGCCCGGCGTCACCAAGGCCCAGGTCGACCAATGGTCGAGCATAGCGAAAGGCATGGTCGGCCAGATCCCGGGTAAGCTCGAGCGACTCACTTCCTCCCCGTTTATGAAACCAAAATTAAGCCCTCTCCAGGTCTCCGAGAACTCCACGCCGGCAGCCCCCTCGCGGCCACAGCCGCCAGAGCCAAGGGCTTCGACATGGGACTCGTGGCGATTCTGGAGAAGCCCGAGGATGTACAAGCGTATGCCGCGCATCCTGCGCACCTGGAGTCGGTTGATCCGTTTCTGTCATCGACGATGGGCCCAGTGACTAACCTGATGGTTTAGGGTGCACAAACTGAGAGAGGAGCTGTGCGATGATACGTTGGCCTACGACTTGGAGTTTTGAGGCACGGAAGTAAATAAGCCGGGGTTCTGGTTCTGGCAGGAGGAGAGGGCTAGGAGGCTAGGACCAAGCTACAGGATGTACTGTCAGGCAACGAGATTCTAAATACACGCGCTTATCTTGCACTGCGGCTGCACATCTGCGACGGTTAGAACTTTCCCGGCTTGCAGACCAGTAATCCCGAGTGCATCAGGGATTATTACAGCTCTTCGCAGCACCTTTCAAATTCCCCAGAGAAAGGATACGAGGTCAATGGCAAGCCTTCCCGTACTTCCGCAACCGCCAATAGTTGTACGGCAACGGGGCCAGATACCCAGCGCCCACCGACACGCCCGCCGCCAGCCAGAACCGCGGGTCCCCGACATCGACCACGCCCCCGGTCAGATGATAATCCACCGCATTCTCGGCGATCTCCATCGCCAGCATGGAGACCATGCTCATCCCCATGGCCGTCCGGCAGGCCATCGGCAGGGAGAGCTGGTCTGCGCCCCGCCAGAGGAGATACGTTTCAAGCATGACGGAGGTGGTTATGCCGGAGGCCACTGGTTCCGGATTATCCGAGGTCAGTCGCTTGGGATCATCGGAGTCGGTCGGGATAGAAAGAGAACGTACTGGATAGTCCCATGATCGTGCCCATCCCGAGATCCGGGGCAAAGCTTTGCAGCATCCAGAGGGCGGAGAAGTCACCGATGGTGCAGCCGACGAGGCACCGGAGGGTGTTGATCCGTGCGCGCTTCCATGAGGAGCGGCAGGTCCAGAACGAGCGGCTAAGGATGGAGGATGTTGGGGGCCGCGGCGCAGGGCTCGCGGGGGGTTTCGGTGGGCTATTTTGTGTTGAGAACGTATTGTTGTGGCATGGTTTCGATCCTCCCTTGGGTGGAGAGCATTGTTGGTGGTATACCCGGGAGCCAAGGAGGGACGATAAGGACGGAGGTAATCTTGTCCGTCGAGTGATGACACTTCTGCAGTGGAGATACATCTTCATCCTATTATTGCTGAGAGAAGTGCTCATAGGAGATTTCAGTTCCAGGCACAGAAAAGCAAAAGGGCCGGGGTTATCTGTTCTTTATTGCGATAAAATTCTGCCTCCCATCAACGCGAAAATCGCGCAGTCGGCGAATGCTTTCGGGGACTTGGGCAGAGTATCCTTCTTCTACGGAAATTGGACAAGCGCACCCAATGGTCAAGCAAGGAGTTTCAGGCTTCGAATATAGCTTTTTTGTAGAGAATATGCCTCTGTTGACCTCGAGCTAAGCTGGTTGCTCGATAGATTGTGTGGCGACGAGGGTATACACTACTGATACACGGCGGGTTCCACAACTTCATAAAACAACGAGTTGTCCATCTAGTTCTAAGTTAGATCTAATTTTCTGCATAAGTTTCAGCAGTAGCACACTAGTCAAGATTGTGATCATCCAGAAATTCCACGCTCAACTTCCTGGCTTGAAAGTTTTGAGAGGCACGAGGTTTGGAAGTGCCAACTCGCATACAACAGACTAAATCCGTAGGTGCTACAACCAATGCCGAGCAAGCTCCGGAAATATTATGAAGATATCTCTTAGCCACGAAGTGTAAAGACAAACAAAGAAGCCACAAACAAGCCAATCTGGTGTCCTGATCCATGCGCCGTCGGGCTCTCGAAATCTCGAGGCTAACTCAATGTCAACAGCAATCACCGTGGATCAGAGGACAACTTCCCGCTAATCCAGATATGGTCAACGTCACTGCAGTCTCGACCGCCTGCTCGATCGGTCAGCTCCCCGCCGACGCTGATCATTGATAAGCTATCTGAATAGAGTCATCGCATGTGGACTCTTTGCTTTATCTATTCTTGTTCACCTGCCATTGATCTCGACTGAGGTCACACACACACACTTACTCTACTCGAGCAATCTTCCTACAAAAATCATCTCACCCACTCATTATCCACCCATCCGGAATCTTCAAACAAACCTCCCACAAACAAACCAAATACACCACCACCACCACCCACAAACAGCGCCATACACAACAAACCCACCATGTCCGCGTCAACACCAACCCCCCATTCCTCCGAACCACAACCCCAAAGCCAACCGCCACAAGAACAACAACAACCCCAACAACAAGAAGACCCAGACCCCCTCCCCGCTCACCTAAACCCATCCACCTACCCCCGCACAACGCACAACCCCACCCTAAACACACACATCACGCTCACCTACGACCCGCTCGACGCCACCGCCGCCCTGCAGCTGGTCTCCTCGCCGCAAGCCGGCGCCAATGTCCTCTTCCTCGGCACCACGCGGGACACCTTCGGGGCGCGCGCCGTCGCGCAGCTCAGCTACACAGCGTACCCGCCGCTCGCGCTGAAGACGCTCTCCCAGATCGCCGAGGCGGCGGTGCACGCCCACTGCCTGCTGGGGGTGGCGATCGCGCACCGGCTGGGCGACGTGCCCATCGGGGAGAGCAGCATCGCCATCGCGGTGAGCGCGGGCCACCGCGGCGCGGCGTGGCGGGCCGGCGAGGAGGTGCTGGAGCGGTGCAAGGAGCGGACTGAGATCTGGAAGCGCGAGGTGTTTGTCGATGGGGGCGGGGAGTGGCGCGAGAATCGGGAGAGGGATCGCGAGGGGGCGTTGGTGGGGTAGTTCCCTTGGGGTTTATCCGGGAGAAGGAGGATTTGCATAGCTGGGTTTGGAGGGGGTAAGTTTTAAGGGCGTTGGAGGGGTGTATATACTTGAACTGGGTGCGGGAGGATTGTCCATGTGTAACTCTAGATATTCATGGCGAGTTATTGAGCTGCGAGGCCGGCCACACGAACATTTCAGTTTCTTCACATTTTACAGAGTAGGGTATTATATTGTACATCATATTGGGCCCCCCAAACCAAACAGCCACGAATCTAATCCTTCCTCAAAGGCTTGCCCTCGCGCTTCCAGTCGTTGATGTGCTCCATAATAGTCCGCGTGGCGGACTCGGGCGTGTCCTGCCGTCCGATACACTCCACAAAGTCGTTATCCGGGTCTGCAGGGAAGCACGAGAAAATGTTAGCCCAGGTCCTGAATCCAAACCAATCTCCGAAACAAAAAAAAACTCACCCATAAGGTAAAAGTAAATACTGTGGTCCACCAAATAATCCTCTCCCGGCTTGATATCCCGCGGAGTACTGAAGTACACGCGATACTGCTTGCACACATTGCGCACCTGGTCGTACGTGCCCGTCAACCCGATGATGCCCGGGTGGAACTCCTTCAGATACTCGCGCAGCACCTCGGGCGTGTCGCGGACGGGGTCACAGGTAATAAACACGGGCAAGAAGATCTTCTCGCCGCCGGTGGCCTCGTTGACCTTGTCGATGATCTCGGCCATCTTGTCCAGCTCGTCCGGGCAGATATCCGGGCAGTGGGTGAATCCGAAGTAGACCTAGTAAGCCAGCCACACCAATTAGTCGTCTGGGTGATTGAGTCCGAAGGGGGGGGGAAGGCTCAGGTAAACTCACAAAACTATACTTCCCCTTCAGATCCTCGGCCGTGAACTCCTTCCCATCCAGATCCTTCAGCGTGAAGGGCCCCCCGACCTTGGGCTTGCCCACCCCCTTGCTCATCTCCGCGATGCGCTTGCGCTCCAGCCGCTCCTTCTCCACCCGGAAATAGATGATCATGCCGCCGCCCGTCAGCACGAACAGCAGCGCCGACTTCCACGAGAACGGGCCCGTCGAGTTGCGCGCCTTCAGCTGGCCCATCGTCGGGGATTTCTTGAGGTGGGCCCGCGAGGTCGAGAAGGCGCGGTGGGCGAAGGTGGTGATGGTGCCATTGTTCAATGTGCAGGCAGCGGCTGTTTGGGTGTTCACGGTCGTCCGTGCAAGGGTCCGATTCAAGGTCGTGGACTCGAGCGAGAACGGGGAAGCGCGCGAGGCACGCGCGAGAATGCGGCTCGCCGGTCGAATTGAGGAAGCCATTATTTCGATTTTTATTCAATTGATGGGGATGGAGGAGAGGGCAAGGGAAAGTGGCCTGACTTGACTGCGCGGAGGATTTTGTTTCTCGGACGGAGAACTTGACGGCGGTCGGTCGGGTCGGAGGTGTGCCCGGCCTGCCCGTGGTTTGGATGCGCTCCAGTCCGGCTGGCCCGCCGCCGGGGTTTGGCTTGATGGAGTCCATTTACGGTTTAGTGCGGTTGGTGGTACAGTGATTCTGGGAATATCACGTGAAACTATCTACGGAGTATAGGAAGTATATCGAACAACTTGGTATGAGTATGTTCGAGGACTTTGACAACAACGGGCTGTCTTGGGTTTACTCTCATCCTCTTCTACTCCCTCCCCACCATCATCGTCGCCTGTCATGCCTCCCCCCTTTCACCTCCCACGCGATCGTCCGGCTGACGCCGTGTCCAACACATCCACTTCCAAGCAGGGCTCTCATTACGCAAACATGGGCAATATGAAGGACACAGACAAGAAGAGCAAGGAGCCTGTTGAGACAGACGCCACTGATCGCCCCAAAGAGGAAGCTGCCTCTGACAAAGATACTGATATCATCGAAAGGCGCCTACATTTGGTAGAAATCCTCAAAGTGTTCTCGATTGTCCAAGCCCGCATCCCGAATGGCGACTACGGCCATCTTCTCCTCCAGATTTCTGAGGGTGATTTTCCCAACTTTCCCCGGAGGATTACTGCTCAGTATGACGGTACCCCTGGGCCCCCTGAAGTAGTCTTCATAACCGAGCGTACCCTGTCCACGGACGAGATCATCGCCGCTAATCGCGAGCTGCCTGAACCCAACTGTGAGACAACCCGCCAGCACAAGCTGTAATCCGACTTCACGAGTGTGGCCTTCACCCCCTCGGTTCACAGACAGGTCAATCCAAAGGTCAAAGTCCTTCTCGGCTCCTGAAGCCCTGTATTGGCATTCACTACAGTGTGATTTACCGCGCGTGTAGTAGATCTGAGAAGATCAGGACCGATGTTACACTTTGCGCCTGTTTCGCTGCAAACATGGAATCACGAACTTGGATAGCATTACATTAATTACACCGCGTGCTTTCCTCGCTAGCAAAGTCTGGATATCCATGGAGAGAATGTGTCCCATGCAAGCAACGCTCACTGGATCTCAGTTTCTTGGATCAAAAGGAGTAGGCGGGTCGAATATGGCACATGGAATGTGATCGAAGGAGACATGCGAAAGCGAAGCAAGGAGGTATTGTCGTACGAGAAACAAGAAGGAAATGCATGACTGGAAGGAGACGAAACAAGAAACGCAAGACGAGCTTTGGGTCGAAGTTGGCCCTCAGGCGGTATGTACGGTAAAGCTTTCCATCTCACTGTACACTGCGGCTAGCCATACTGGCACGGCTAGGCGTGGTACGTGGCTCTTCTTCTTCGATGACATCGCTTAGGCGAGTAGGATGGCGATGTCGGGGAGTCATTGATTCCCACCCAGAGCCGACGCCCCAGCCCGAGCCACTGTAGTCGACAGTTTGGTTGTAGCCTCCATAGATAGACCCCGACGATGCAGGCAACGAGCTGGGAGGATATCCTGATTCGTCGAGTGAGCCGTGCTCATAATCGTCGCTCCCTTCGGACATTGTCGGAGGATAAACAATCGGCCCTTGTGGATTGCGGCGATAGCTGGCCCCAAATTCGTCTTCGCCTGGTTCACTGCTGGCTACACTAGGACCATACGAGCGATCGTCATTTTCTGACGTTGGTCGAGCAGGGTAGCCGGGCTCTTGGTCGTAATAGTGCGCAGGATACTGCCTCTGAGTTTCTGCAGACGAGGAAGCCGGTGGCGGCCCTTCGACAAAAGGATCCGTGCCGGTGGGCGATGCAGCAGTCTCGCCGTAGTATTGACCTTCGGTGTCCACCGTGCTCTTTGGCGCGCCTTCACCACTAGTAGCTCCGCCGGTTGCATAGGGGCTCTCGCGAGTTTGAGGACGAGCGGTTGATGCCTGACGATGCGAGGCTCCAGTGACCATAGGCACCACCTGCACTCCTCCCACCAATGTGGGCTCGCCGTTACGCAATGAATTGGTCCTCTCGCGCTCCTCCTGCTCGCGCCGACCAAGTTCTTCCCAGGCGCGGCGAGCCTCTTCTTTCGAGATTTGCAACTCCCGACGCATCTCTTTGAGCAATTCTTCCGCGCGCGACTTGTCGCTCTCAGCCTTCTGCAAGGAGGCAAGAGCGTCCGCGCGAGCTTGCCGTTCAGTTCGTATCTGTCGCTCAAGCTCTGCTTGCAACTCCTTCGCCCTTTCTTGTTCCGTGCGGGTGTCGAAGAACCAGCGCTGAAATTTCCGCTCGGATGATGCGCGCAACCGCTGCAGCTCCACGACGGCGTGAAACAGATTTGCACCAGCAGCAGAAAGATCAGTGACTTGACGAGCCATCTGCTGGTTAAGAGGATCCCGCTCGAGTGCCTCATTGTTCTGTTCCAGCTTGCGGATCCAGTAACCTGTCAACCCTTCCCAGTGAGAAGACAGAGTCTCCCAACGCTCGAAGGCATGTGGGAAAGGCACTCGGCGCGATTGCTGTTGGGGCTGAGATCCTGTGCTCGGTTGGTTAGACGCTGGGGCTTGGCCTTGCGGTTTGGAAACCCCTGCAGAGCTCTGAGGCGGGATTTGAGACTGCTGAGCTGGATTGAATTGTCCTGCCGATGTCGTCGGCCTTGCATGACCATGTCCCGCACCGGTGCCTGCTGCCTGTGTAGGAGACAAAGGATCTGGTCGTCGAACGTTGCTAGTCGACCGTTCTGGAATGGTGGTGGTGCGTAAGTCTTGCGCCTCCGGCCCTGTGGGCGCCCTGTGCGTCGCTCGCCGTTGTGAGCCTCTGTCACCGGCAACGCCAGCAGCATAAGGCTGCGCTTGCCCTTGAGCCTTGCTTTGCTCCTGCTCCCGATCCCTAGCTTCCTGTTCTGCCTTCTTGCGAGCTTCGCGGTCCCGGCGCTGTCTCATGATGTCCGTTGGAGTCCGCACACCACTTGGCGGGTGTAGATTGACAGGGACCGGGCCCTGGGCGGCTCGAGACGATCCATTCTGGGTGCGGCCATTGGCGCTGAAGCCGGTTGTACCTGCTGCGTCAGACATGGGCGCATTCACTTCTTCCCAGTCTGTTGTGAAGGGGAATGGTTTGCGAATCGCTTCTTCCAGAGTCCAGAGAATCGCAGATGCTGTGCGTGGGGAAACTCGAGTAGACCTACGGGGCCAGTACGAGGTATCCTCCCGTTCAAGATGATCTTCCGGTGCCGAGTCAGCCTCCTCGTCGTGATCCGTATGCGCTTCCGAAAGGGCAGGACGTAGAGCAGCAACACCGTTGCCGTGGTCCGAGATTGACTGCACCAAGACAGGAATTGTTTGCTCTACTTCAAAAGGACGTCCGGACACATCGACCGATGGCGGGCGCTGAAAGTGACGAGACGTTCTCCGCAACGATCGAGTACTTCCAAAAGCACTCGAGGGTCGTAGTTCTGGGTCAAAGGTAGGTTCAGGTAAGGGTCGGGGAGCAGCCTGCTGCTGGCGTTGCGGTGAAAGAGTCGTCAACGTATGTGGATCGTGTACTTCGTAGGTCTCGTCAAACGTGCCGCGATAAGGATAAGACACTGCCGCAGTGGTATGTGAGCGAGGCGGATGCGGATGCGACGACAACGTGAGTGCTGGGACGTAAATATCAATTCCCTTTCCAATTGGGGCTCCAGGAACAGAAGGCTTGCGATCGTAGGGTGGGCTTGGTAACGTGTCAGGGGAGCTGCACAACTTTTGGCACGACTCCGCTTCTTGTCCAGCACACGCACGATACACCGGCCACTGAACACGCAATGGTAGGTCAGTACGTAGGAGACAAGTGGAATGTGGGTATCTCGGGGGATTGAAACACGGGGGAGAACAGCAAAGAGGAAGAGGAGAACATTTCAGAGCGAGCCACGCGACTAAAATTGGCAGAGGCTGGTCGAATAAGAAGGGTCGAAGGGGTCGTTGTGGAAAATGCGATGGCTGGGGGGATTCGGAAGCTGCAGTTGCGCTCACCTGTTCCTGAGAAAGCGCCCTGCCAGACCGCAACGAGCACTACTTCAGAGGCCCGTGGCCGGCATGGAGTAGAGCGAGACAGCCCAATTGCCTCCTTACAAAAGGGGAAGAAGGGGAGCCCAAGCTATGAAGCGGTCTGGATCCAGGGAGTGTGAAGACTGAAGACAACAACAAAGTGGAAAGGAAAGAGAGATGAAAATTGAAGTGGAAGAATTGGAAGAATTGGAAGAATCGGGCAAGAGCTTTTGCTTGGGAAAGAAGGGAAGGTGAAACGGGGGTTTTAGCCGGTACCAAAGACTGTACCAAGGATTGTACCAAAGAATAGGTAACTTGGGAACGTACCAAATAATGTCGAGTAAATCTACCCGATCGCAAACGATGGTTATGGACTCACCAACTCTGACTACCCTTGTCACCTCTTGACTGCTGTTATACGGGATCGAGAATGGACAAGACAAGATGACGTTGGTTTTCTTCTGCACAGCGCAAGGACCAGATCAAAATCCCACACGCTGACACACACACATCCAAACTTGTCTTCCTTGCCTTCCAACCCCCCCCCCCCCGCCTTTACAGGTTGCACACAGCTCAATTAAGGCCGACTGCGACTCGTCGGACAACCAACAATTTGACTACCCAAGGTGACTGATTTCATGAGTTTGCCTGAGCGTTCTTGTTTCGAGTCCCGTATCTTCTGCTGATCGCGGATTGATCGCCTCTAGATCAGTGTTGGATCTCGACAATCTCTGTCAGATCTTTCCTCCTGCACATGAACCAAACAAACATCCCTCGTCATGGATCCAGTATCTCTTTCTACATCGAAGAAGAGCCATTGCATCATCGCGACAAGCCGTCCGGCAATTAAGTATATATAGAAACCCGCGCTAGCCAAGCTCTGTCCTTGCAATGGCCCAATCCGAGGCGGATGTGCTGGCGATTCCTGGATGGGGATTCAGTCCCGACCCGTCATCATTAGGTCGCCGCCTGTCAACTCCTTCTCTGCCCATTCTGTCAAGTCATGATTATCTAGATGAAGTTGATGTTCATGTCGGCTGGAAACAGCCTCATCATAAAGTGTTAATCAATCGCCAATTATGACAACTTCATGCGAGCGAAAGCGATTTGTCGACAGTCCAGCAGTTTCTGACTTTCGGGCTCTTGCTCAGCGACTCCACATCGGCTCCATCAGCGGAGCACAGACCTGGACTTGCTGATGGCGGTACCTTAGACTATTGACTAGTCCTCTTTTATGGTCGCACGAGAGGCCGTTGATCGATCCGGAGAAATTCGATCTGGGCCTTTGGAGATCCATCACTACCTTATCACCCTCGGATTTGGGTGCTACCAATAAGACTCAGCAGGTGACACCCCTGGTCCATTTAGTTCGTCGACCTGGGAAGGTTCAGTCACAGAGTCGGACTCTGTGTTTGTTCTTACCGTTTGGGTCTCATTCGGTTCTTAGTGGACGTTCGGAAGTTGAAGGGAACCAGCTACCTGGTCAGCTTACAACCATCTCTAAGCCTTTTGGGGCAGACGAGTAAAATGCAAGGGCCTTTCGGCTCGGCTCCCAATTGACTTTGAGGAAAGCTTTTCCATCCGTCCCGGTTTCAGACCTATCGAACTGCCTTGCAGCCGGTCTCACACACAAAACTGCTTTGCTCACATCGTCTCCTGTTCAATTTGCCACCCAATCTGGTGGGAGCGAGAAAAGTAATTATGGTCCAAAGAAAGGTGGGGATTTGGAGCGCCGCTTGTGTCAAGGCCGTTAACTAAGTGCAGCTCACAAGACTACGACCACAAATTAGTCTGATAACTCTTCACTGAGGTCTTATCACCGAAGTATGAATTTGGACGTCAGCAGGAGGTGACAGCTGTGGTGCCCGAAACGTCGTGCAGAAAGGCCCCGTGAAGAAATTGTCAGAACTACATGCAAAATGCCTCGGGACAGCGATCCACACCAATAATCTCTATGCATCGGTCCATGAGTCCAGTGACATTCGAGACGGTGATCTTATGCTAACCGTACTCTGTATGCCGACTATGGCCGCGCTTCATGTCTCACGCAGGTCCCCTCAAAAGTAGATTTGCATCGAAGCATGCATGAGGTGAAATAAGACCATAGCCTGATATGCAGGTCCGGAATGCGGGCCTTACAATGCGTTTCGTATCCGACGGACCGAGACTTGACCAGTAGGCAAGATCGAGATACTCGTCTCTCAAACCTTTTGTTTTCTCTGCTCGGATGTCCTTAATATATCTGGGGCAATCTAACATCGAGACTGCTCTGAAAGGAACAGGCGCAACGAAAATGAACCCGCTGCTATGTTTGTAACGATAAATCGGGACAAACCTGCGATCCTTTGAGACGGATGCCAGCAGTGGTGAAAGGGTACCGCGGGCGTCGATATATATTTTCGAGAAAGCACCCGAAGATGCACTTGTAGGGTGGTGGCCACTAAACGGGCTCCATTGCGCTTAAATCAAGGCACAGTGGCAGCGATTAAAGTCTAACATTTACGAAGTGCATCTAGGACAAGTGCAGAATTTGTCATTGGAAAATCGGTTTCTACTTCTTGCAACTGTCTGCAAGCGAGTGAAGATTCGCGACAGAACAGCGCTCGAACAGGGATAACACCCTGCCCAGCCTTTGTTCTGGACGGTGGGTGACCAGCAAGGACTCACAAGATAAGCTCCCAGGCCAGCGGACCAGCCTGTCGGAGATTAAGAGAAAGAAGGATCAGTTTCGTGTTATAACCAGACCACAATAGGGATGGCGTTGGAAGGCAGGCAGACAGATTTCGAAGCAGGTCTGACTTCAGCTCCTGGGACCCTAATGCAAGCCCCCGGTATCATGGCAACCCGGTATGATAATCTGGAATGCGGCGGACCCTGGTCTACAATTTTCTCCGAACTATGGGTAGCCAGAGCTTCGACGGGGTTTGGCAAACCACGGAGGTTTTATGACGAAAGACCCGGATTTCAAAGCTTGATCCGATCCACTGCAATCGGGCTATCGAGGAACTGAATGAAGCAGTAGACCTGGCTTGACAAGGGATTTTGAGGGGATGTTGGAAAGGGACGACTGTCTTCACGATCAAGGAGCAAAAAGGATCAACGGCGGGATCGACGTATCACTGCGGAACTAAGTTAGCGAGTGGCCTGTGTCCCAGCGTCTCGGATGGGCCTGATCTCTCACATTTGCCCATCCTCTACCTGCCCCTCAACCTTTGCACAGGGAAAACTTCTAGATCCTCGGTGCCTCGATCATCCTGTGGGTACGGAGTAGAGGTCTGCAATTTCTGTGTGCTCTCGTCAACCATAGACCTGGAGTCCACAAACCTTGTAGCTACTTGTGGACTGGCCCTGGCCTCGTTCGCACACAACCCAAAAAGAGTCTTTGACAGCTCTTCGCAATCCGTTTGATCAATATCATCGCATCGAAACGCGCAGTGCAGGAAATCGACCTGGTGGTTGGCGCCCTCAGGGCCCTCAGGGATAGGATGACCAACCGCGAAAGGTGTTGATATCCTTCCTCTTTCGGGGGTACGTGCACAACAAGGAAGCTTAACGGGAATGACCCAAAAAGAATCATACTCGAGTGAGTTAATCCTGGAGTTCATAATGAGACCCCGCGTCAACTAAGTTGCGGATCGAGATTCCGAGCCTCCCTTGCTCCTGCGTCGAGGGGCGACCTGCCTTGCTGCACATCTTCATCCCTACCGAAGGACAGGAAGATGTAAGGTCTGATAGGTCATTGGAGTCTGTCCCCACGGACGTTAGAGCTTTTGTTTGCACCTCTGAGCATTGGCATGCGTCGGAACTCCCCCCCGGCCTAGCCACCGTTGCAATGGTTGGATATGCCCTAGGTGGGCCAAGGCGACGTTGTTATTTTTGGCGAGATATGTATAAACATATTCTCCCCTTGGTCCTCGCCATTCTTGATTCCACTGTCTCAATATATTCGTTCGTTTAGTTGATGTCTCTCCTTTCAATTGTACTACGAATCAACCACGTCTCTGTCTTATGCCTCTGATGAGCTGCTTGCATGCCTGAATGACCACGACCAATCTCTCGCTTTACCACAGAACCATAGTCCATGGCTAACGGATACTCTCGCATGCCCGGCGAAGTGAACGCCTCTTACAATAGCCGCAAGATATCGCAAACCACACTTTACCCCGAAGCCATCCCGGCCAAGAAGCGGGCTTCATCATTCTACCCTGTCCGAGGCCCGGGGATCGTTGACGAGTCGAACCCAGATCCCTTTTATCTGGAGCACACTCTGGCAGAAGGTGGTCCCTGGGGCCCTGGGCGGCCGCACAGTCGCGATGCCAGACATAGTGACGAAGCCAGTCAGTACTTCATGCTTGGGTCTTTACACAACAACAAAGGCGGTCCTTTCGCAATCTCGTCGCGTGGAGATACCACGAGGTTCCGATCCAACGTCAACCGGTCCACTCTGTCGGTGGTTGAGTTGGAGCATCAATTGAGCCTCCGTGAAATCACTGCCAACCAGCCCTGGGGAGGAAAGTTCCCAAGCTACGATCAATCGTCTTTTAGCTCCGTGCAAACCGACGCGACACCGGATTTGACACCCAGCAGTTCATTCTCTTCCAACTATTCCGCCCTCACGAACCGGGAAACCATCACTTCAGGCTCAGAATATCAGTCTTTGCTCAACCAACAAGCACCCCCCAGTCCTAGGCGCCAAGTATATCCGGCTTCATCTACACCTGCCAACCTTTCTCAGACAACATTGACAACGGAGCCTTCAACACCGACGCGATCGTTGAAGACGCTCGCCGCGCCATCCAACGCATCCACAGACACTCTGGTCATGCAGAGAGTAAGTAGTCACGATCCCGCATCAACCCGTGGGAAGCCATTGCCGTCATTGCCCAACGGCATCCGCAATCGAAACAGCAAGCCCGGTAAGAAAGGGCCACCGCCAGCTCTTCGTCCTCCAATCGCCCCGTCCATGATATCTCCACCTTGCTGGTACAACCCAGTGACGAAAGAGCCTCACGTATCGCACTTCGACCAGGCTATGTTCATTTCTGGGAATGACCGTCCGAGCCCGGTGCCGAGCCCAGGTCCAGCGTCACCATCTATTGAGCGCCACCCGATGGCTAAGCGGCCAGCAACCTCACCGGCGGGGATGATCTGCCAGCACGAGCAGTCGGTCTGGGAGTCCGACTCGGATAGCGAGTCGGTTGATCCGAGGTCCTTGTCCCGCAAGCCCATGGACACTTTGAAGAAGGTCCGAAGCCGAGTACATCTTCGCGTCGCCAAGTCGGCCCCAAAGCTCAACAATACTCAGGGTCAAAGTCAACACGCACAGGGATTGGAAAGATTCCCTTCCACGCCCGATCCACCTCCGGAGCTGCTATATCCGTCGCCTATGCGAGACCTCATTCGGTCTCGGTCCAAAGACATCCTGCGGCCCACCGCGCAGCAGACCCTGAGACTGGTCGCTCCATCCACGACGTCGCTCGTTCAACCGCGATCGCGACGCAATAGCAACGGGGCCGTGAACATCGACATGGACCGCACGACGGCCGCTGCCATGCAAGCCAAGTCGCGACGGCGGCAACGATCGGACTCATCACCCAAGGTTCTGACTGAGGCTGAAAAGCTGTGTACTCTCTGCCGAGAGGACCGATCTGACCGCGCGATTCACCAAAGTCTCGCCCTCGCCCGGCCCCCGCTCTATAAACGAGTGTGGGAGTCGTTGCGAGTCCTGGGCTGTCATGGCGATCTTCCTCCCCCGCGACCCCGCCGACCCATGTGATCTTTTCTGGTGTTCTTGATTCTGTGCGCGGACAAGTTTCGATTGGCGCTGAACCATCTTCTCGAAAACGCATTCACGACCAGTGGTCGCGACGACTTTGAACGTTCCCTTTATCTTGATCCAACTTAATGTCTTATGATGCTACCTGATGAGCCTCAGATGAACAGTCTGGGCGGTTTATGACTGGATGCTTCTCCATGTCACCCCATGATATAGCGAGACGCATGCGCTGAGTCTGGAAACATGACGCAGCCGTCTAATGATGCAATGAACATCATCACAATTGATGAGGCAACGAACAGGCGTGAGGGGTCAGCGTGGCCCTCAATCCTTGCCTCTGCTTACATCTTTCCGCTACTTACAGCTTTGCTTTCGGTCTGTCATATACACACCCTGCCGGTCTTTCCCACCAAGTTGAACCTTGGACGTTTCTTTTCGTATCTTTCCGAGTTCTCTCACCCACATTCACTCAACGTTTCACTCATGGTGTCTCTACGCCCATCACTCCTTGACTCCGGCCTGACCATGGTCTGGCCCCTATTTCCTAGTGTCCCAGTGTCCTGTCCATAAAAGCCAGTTATCGAGGGCCATAATTTTGCCTTGTCAAGCATGCAAGCCTTCCATTGCCATACTCTTGTAAATCAAAACAAACAAGCCCGGTGGGGCTGGCTTACATACCTGAATTGAATTTTTCCTTGTCTGGAATGTGTGGGGTAATTCCGTTCATGATTTTTTTTTCTGCGAGTGTAACGATGGCGGATCTGGGAATTTCAGGATCCAACGCCGGGTGGAGGGTGTAGCACGATCCCTGGTTGCAATTTTTGGGGGGTAGGAGTTTATCGCAGGGATATCCCTTGTCGAGAGGGCGTGAAGTCTGACGAACCGGACTCAGTGGTCTAAGTGTTGAAGTGTGATGGACGAAGTAAGGGCCCTTTTACATGTAGTTTGTAGCAGTGAGCTCTGGGGCGGATGGAGTTGTAGTCTGATGTCTAGTCTAGTCTAGCTAGTCTGGTCTATCTTTGAGTGTCCAGTGATTCACCCACTTGAGCTGTCCACTTCCATGCGGTTCTGCATCGCGAGACAGATTCATGGCCCTTAGATCGCGGACACTGGTTGAGCGTCCAGGTTATCTCCCAGTATCTGGGATGACAGTACGGTGGGCAGCTGGGCAGACGACACCACCTCCACCACCAATCCACCAACCGTGCAGCACAGCACAGCCCTTGTCTCCCTGTCTGGCTCCTCCCGTCGACGGGATGTCTCGAGGGCCGCGCAGTGCCGTTCTGCATGTCTCATGCAAGAAGTGAGTGACTGACTGACTTGGTTGTGCAGCGGATGCAGCGCTTGAGACGGGATCTTTGGCAAGCTGGGATAAGGCCCATGGCAGGTAGGTAGACCTGCAGCTCGTAACCCGTCCGTACAATACGGTAGGTAGGGAAGTAGGGTAGGGTAGGGTAGGGTATATCCGCGCCTGTCGCTGCCCCTTCGTCTCCCCTCCCCTCGCCTCCCCACTGCATCCCAACAACCTAACCCCCAAGCAGGAAGCAAAGCGCAGCACAGCCCCCAGACAAGAATCTCGAACCTAACCATCCCCCCAGAAATCAACCCGACAACTCCTTCAACTCCAACGCATCCATATTCTCCTCCCACAGCGCCACCTGGACCCTCCGCTCCCACGCCGAAATCACCTCCTCCGCCTTGCGGGCCAGTTTCGTCTCGGGCAGTTCCGTCTGCTTCCCAGTCCCGGCCTGACCCGGAAGTTCCTCCGCAGAAACCACCCCCCCAAACACCTTCCGGATGTCCAACTCCCGGACCGCCCGACGATACAGCCCCAGCAGTTCGGCGCGTTTCCTCTCGCGCGGCGGCGTCTCCTCCGCTGTTGCTGTTGCCGTAGCCGTAGCCGTAGCACCCCCACCCTCACCAGCCTGCAAAGGCGAATCCTCAAACCCAATCACCGTCGCAGCGACACCTTTATCGTTACTCGTAGCCGGGGTATCCTTCCTGCCGACAGCGCCGCCCGGTCTGGAAGCAGCAGCACTGCCACTGCCACCAGCTCCAACCTTACGGACCCCCTTCCGCGCCGGCTCCTCCAGCCCGCGGATCGCCCCCTCCAAGATCCCCAGGATCGTGCCCACGCGCATGCCGAGCTGGGCGCCGACGGGGAAGCCCGCGTCGAAGCCGGATTGCACTTGGGTGGATTTGGCGGCGGCAAGGCCGTCGCGGTAGCCGGCGGTGACGTGTTGGCGGCGGAGGGAGGGGAGGTCGGAGGGTTCGGTTGCGGGAGCGGGAGTGTGGTGGTGGTTGTGGTGGTGGTTGTGGTTGTGGGCGTCGTGGGGTGGGGAGGAGCCGAAGATGTCGTCTAGAGTGTTTTCCATTTTGTTGGTGTTGGGAGGGTGAGGTGTATGTGTATGTGTATGTGGGTAGTGGTGAGGGGAGGAGTGAGTTGCGGGATTGGAAAAAAAGTTCGAGCGGGGAAAAGATATATTGAACGGAGCAGTGGAGTCGCTTCGGGGTTAGTGGCGTTAAGGCGTTACGTACTGGTAGTTAAGGTTGGGTCGGATCTGATATGATCGATCGTATTGTATACTTTTCATTGTACACAAGTATGTGACTATGTCCTGTGCGTCTATGGAGAGTTGACAAGATCTGGCATACTACTGGGCATTAAATTCCAGTTACTTCGTGGAGTTCCCTGCAGGTCTTCAGGACAGCGACAGCTACTATAGGCCCAAACTCGCCGAACAAGGAAGCACAAGCGCAAGTCCTACGGTGTTTCGGAGCGCATTAGCCTCCGTTCGCCTTTCTTATATGAGAGCAAGGGAGTATTCACGGAAAACACGACCTCTCTCTTTCCAAGCTATTTGACTGTATGGTAGTCCATAGTCCATAGTGCATACCCAACTCCATCAAAAATGCCCCCCCGCCTCCGCCTCCGCCTCCTCTACCTCCTCACGCCCCCAACCCTCCTAACCTACACCATCCACCGCACCCTCACCCACCTGGAAACCAAATACCCCCCGATCCCCGCCGCCCAAGGCAGCACCGCCGCCCTCACCACCCCAACCAACCCATCCACCCAACGCTGCGCCGAAATCGACATCTACCAGGCCCGCGTCCCGGTCCGCGCCTTGCTGCGCGCCGAGGCCGCCCTCACCGGCACCGACCCAAACACCACCACCACCACCACCACCACCACCGAGAATAACCCAGATAATCCCCCCCGAATCTCGCAAGCCACGCTCCAAAAAGCATGGGCCCACCTCTTCCTCACCAGCCCGATCCTGCAAACCGAAGCCAAGCTCATCGGCCTCCTCACCACGGGGCGATTCCACCCGGGCGATGTGGGGTTGTCGGCTGCGGGGTTTGCGGCGGTGCCGTCGGAGACTGTCCCCGACACTGTCATCGACACCGACACTGCCCCCAAAGATCCCGAAAGTCAAGGCTGGCAGAAACGCAAACTCATCAATGGCGGGTTCATCGTCGAACGCGACCCCGAAAGCCCCGGGGGATTGCTGGCCAGCTGGCGGATTCCGGACGAGGCACGGGAGTTCTTTGAGCGGCTCGCGCGATGGGGATATCCGTGTCGGTTGATGAGTGGGGGGCGGCATGAGTGGGGGGTTTCGGAGGTGTATTTTTGTAAATCAGAGGATGGGGGAGGGGGAGAGGGAGAGGGAGAGGGAGAGGGAGAGGGCAAGGCAGGGGAATGGGTGGTGGATGTGCGGTTCGGGTCGGCGCATGATTATGAGATTGTCGAGGCGGAGGGGGCAGCACAGAAGGTGGTGCCGCGGTGGGTGGGCAGGTTGCATCGCGGGTTTGCGAGGGTGTTGGTGGAGGATGCTGTGAGACGGTTGAGGGATTGGTAGGTATATTGATGAGTTGATAGCTTGGGTTTGAAGACGAAGTGTATACTACACTGTATGACACTACACTACACTATACTGCACTGCACTGTACTGCACACCCCAGATGAAGCGTGCTTGTTCTGGATTCTCTTCTAACAATCCTCCCCATGCGCGACAACCCCCCACCCCCTCCACCCCGTATACTTCACGCACACCTCCCACCCGCTCCGGATCACCTGGACATCATCCCCGGAGTCGGTCCCGCACCCCGCCCCATACAGACACAGATCGTACGCGCTGCTCGTGCTGGGGCTCTTCCACGAGAACGTGTCCACGGTGCTCGCGTTCAGCCCCGCGTCCAGCGCGGCGCACCCGTCCGTCGCGGCCACGCCCTGCCGGTGCCAGAGCGAGAGGTCGAACGAGGTCGTGTTGGGGTCGCAGCCTGGGCTGAAGAGGCGGAGGTCCCACTTTTCCTCACGCGTGTATTAGCATGAGTGTCTTTTAAATTAGGGGGGGGTTGAGGTGGGTGGGTGGGTGCCTTGGGGATAAGTGGAGGGACAGTGGACGATGCAGTGTGCAGGGTTGTGTATAGGTAGTTGAGTGTGCATGGTTTGGTTCATGGTGTGGACAAGCTAAGGCAGACGCACGTTTCTAGGCCGGAGGATATCCCGGGCATCGATCGTGGAATACGTCGTCGAGGGGATAGCGAGAGTCGAGGACAGCAGGCTGAGGACCGTGGTAAGAGTGGATGAGATGTGCATTGTGAATTGTGAATTGTCTAGAAATAACAGATGCAGTGTCCTCGCAAACGCAAATCGCCAGAAGATGCAGGTTTTCACAAGTGAGGAGTCGGGTGATCGTCAGGGTCCCATCTTATAAATAACCGGCCATCAACCCACAATTTCAGGTCTGCGGAGAAAAGACCCACTAATGCAGGTCTCCGACCAGACACTGCGAATCACAGCCTGTTTCACCTCACCAACCCTGGTAGGTACCCTGGACGGAGTCACCGACAACTCAACCCTTATTCTATTAATACATATCTCATCTCCTAGCTACCTAGTACACACCACACTCCTCTACTGCCGCCCCGGCCCTAATCGCCATGCCCGCAGAGGCAACCCCTGCAACTTCAGCACCGCCGGCTTGATGAAGAACACAAACGTCACCACTCCGATCACCACGCACAGAATATTCGTCGTGTAGTAGCCGTCGTGGATCACGTTGCAGGTGCCACCCCCGTGCACACACCGGTTGCGGTCGGGCTCCAGCGCACAAGAAAAGGCCTGTGTGACCAGCTCGCCCTTGAGAGCCTCGGCGCTCGGCGCCACCGTCGGCGGCACACAGGTCGCCTCCGTGAACATGTCCACCAGCTTGAGGATAAAGTACCGCGGGAACGTACCGCCCAGATTCGACACCCTGCCCGAAGATTAGCGTGGATCCGCCACCAAAAGAAAAAGAAAACTTACGTGGCCAACATAGTCATGTAGGTGCCCCCGATGCTCGGGTCGGCGATGCGCGCATGGAAGGCCGACACCGCCACAAACATGACCGTGTTCATGAACGTCGAGAAGATGTGCTCGCCGATCACCGTCAACAGGTACCAGAACGGCACGGCGTCGCCCGCCGGGAAGATCATCACCGTCACCTGCGCCAGCACGGCCGCCGCCAGCCGGCCCATAAACGCCCAGCACCACAGGCGCATCGGCGTGTACTCGGTCGACCACTTGCCCGCATAGTAGCCCAGCCCGATCTCGAAAGGAAAGTCGATCAGCACGACCAGCGCCATGTTGTCCTGGCCGAAGCCCTTGTCCAGCAGCTTCAAGCTGGTCACGCCGTCGTTGGCCTGGAAGCCGATCTTGGCGATCAGATGCACCAAGATGATCGTGTGGATGTTCTTGAGCTTCAGCACGCTCCACATGCTCCGATAGACATCGCTGATGCTGTCGCGCTCGTGCGTCCGGTCCTCCTTCTTCATCAGAGCCAGCAGCGTGGTCACCACGATGTAGGCCCACCCCCAGAAGACCAGGTACGAGCCCAGCGACAGCAGACCCCCGGAGGCCGGAGCGCTGCGGAACCACCGGTTGGCAAAGTCCTCGGAGTTGAAAGCCAGGAACACCGTGTACGACAGAAAGTGGCCCGCGGTCAGGCCGACCGTCTGCGCCGTCGACGCGTAGGAGATGTTGGGCGGCGACATGAGCGTGATGGCCCAGCCGTCCACGGCGATGTCCTGCGTGGCGCAGAAGAACACCAGCAGGAACCACCAGTAGGTGAACTTCCACACGCCCGCGCCGCCGTTGGCGCCCGCCGCCTCCATCATCTCGTCGATGCGCCCGCCCAGGTAGATCATGGCCAGCCCCGCGATGACCTGCACCGGTGTGATCCAGCTCTTCCGCCGCCCAAACCGGCGGCTCCAGATGGCATCCACGATCGGACTCCACAGCAATTTGAGCGAGTAGGGGTAGGAGGCGAGCGAGAAGATGCCGATCTGGCCGTACGAGAGGTAGGGCTTCAGCAGGAAGGGCACCGACCCCGTAGCCAGGCCCATGGGGATCCCCTGGAGGAAGTAGAGCACACACAGCAGCATGAAGTTTCTCCGGTCGCTCGCGGGAAGGTTGGCAAACGAGGTGGTCGTCATGGCGGGGGTTTGCGGGGTCATGGGGGGATCGTGGTCGAGGCTGAAGCTGGGACGCGCCATGAGACGGTTGGCCCGGCCCGCAGAAGACTCAATGGAGGTTTCCCTCTTGCGCATCTCGATGGAGGAATCCATGCTCTCGCTCGCGTAGCCGTTCTGGCCCGTCGAGATGGTCAGCGATGGCTTCGAGCGACGTTTGGTGACCGTGCGGCCTTTACGCTTCATCTGGGCACGGCCACGGCGGGAGGCGAGTTGGGAAAGGAGAGGTTCGTCGTGGGCTTCGTGCGAGTCCGTGTCTGACTCGTCGTCGTGGTCGGAGGAGAGATGAGTGGGATCCCCGGGATGATGATCGGAGGAGGAGTGGTCTGTGTAACGAGGGTCTAGTTTATTATTAAAAGGTCCACGGTGGGCGGTGCTGCATGCTAGATGTCGAAGTTCCACCTCTGAGGAAAGCCGCGGTCGATCCGAACGAAATGGAGAGGAAGGGTCCGCAGGGGGGACATGAAGGGAAGGTCTTAGGGAAGGAGAAGCAGAAGCAGAAGGAGAAGATAAAGGAGGGACTGGAACTGGGTCGCCGGCGTTGGAATGATGCATCCATTCGACGTAGTGGAGCTGGGAAGGAGAGAGAAGCGTGCGGTGGGTGCGGCGCGGTGCAAGTTCCCGATTTCTTGGAGGCAAAGGGCAAAGGCAAGCTGGCCTCAGTGGGAATTCCCCTTGTTTGGGCTTGGCTGGGTTGAAGTGGATTGGGCGGGCCGATGATTGGGTGGGGAGGAGAGAGACTTTTGTTTGACGAAGGATTCACGTCAAGATTATTGATTGATTGATGCTGAGTGATCGGCTCTAGTGATGCAGATGCAGATAACAAGCTATGGGGAGGGGGATGACTAGTGGGAGTGCCAACAAGATTACAGATCAGTTTCTTTGGAGTAGTCCACGAACAACAGTCTAAATACGTATCTGGCCACGTCTCCCGCAGGACAATCAACGTTTATTAAACCCTTCTTTGGGTTATTTATTGAATTTTCCATCGAAAGTTAAGCCCGCGACCCAACCCGGTGGATCTGCCGATAACGAACCTTCACGTGACATCTCACTCCAATTCAGGTCCTGTCAACAAACACTGCATACACCCATCCATCACCACCACCACCCCCCATCTTCAAACGCACCCCAACAACAACAAGAAAACCCTCACAACATGTCCACCCCCTCTCTAAACACAGAAGAAGAAACCGAATCCCTCGATTCCGAAATCTCCACCATCCGCGCCGAACGTCCGTTCCCCCCTCCCTTCCCCCATCCCAAACCCCCAACTAACGCCCCCGCCAAACAGTCCAGACCCTCCACCACCGCCGCCGCATCCTAACAAACAGCCTCCTGACCTCGCGCCCCCTCCAACGCCTCGCCAAATCCCAATCCCAATCCCAATCCCCATCTCAAACAACAGCAACCGCCCCAAGATCCTCTCAAAAATGGACCGACCTCTCCCCGCTCCTCCACACCTCCGCCCTCCACGCCGACCTCAACCACCACCGCATCGCCTTCTCCACCACCGCCTTCCCCTTCACCGATCCCTCGCCCTCGCCCGTCCCCTCCGAGGCCAACAAGAGTCTGATAGGGTTGCGCATTGACATCTGCGCCCGGGACGGGTCGTACGTCAAGCCGTATTACATTCTGTTGCGGAAGGGGGCGTTGCACCGGTCTACGGGAAGCGACGCGGAGGAGAGGACGGGTAAGGGTGGGAGGGGGGGGAGGGTGCTGTACGTGCATCGGCACACGGTTCCCCCGGTGGTGGATGTGGGGGCGTTGGAGCGGGTGTATTTGCCGCGAGCTGGGGGGGATGCAGCCCGGGGAGAAGAGGGGGAAGGTGGGGAGCAGCTCAAGCCGTGGAAGCGCAGCCCCACGAAGAAGCAGAATCTGAAGGGCTTTCTGCGCGAGGTGCGGCGGCAGCTGGTCGTGTGGCATGTCCGTTGTGATGGGGTCCGGTATCTGCGGGAGCGGTTGGGCGTCGTCAGGCGGGGCGAGGGGCAAGACGCGGACGCGGACGAGGAGAACGGGGTCTGGGAGAGGGATGTGCTGGCGGAAGAGCCGAACCAGGAGTCCAAGATCGCGAGGAATGATCTGGGGATCGTCGCGTTGGGGGCCACCGCGTTGGAGGCGGTCTATGTGCGCGTCGAGTGGGTGGATGGTCGGGTCGGGCGGTTCAAAATCTCCAATGCGGGGTTGGTGGAGCGGGCGGTCGTGATGGGGGACACGGGGAGGGATAAGTTGATGGAGGCGGTCATGACGGGGGGCAATGGGAGGTTGGAGACGTTGCTGGATCGGTGGAGGAAACACGCGTCTGAGTTGAGGGGGTCTGCTGCTGCTGCTGCTCCTGTGTCGGTTGGGGATGGTGCGTCGCAGACGGCATCGGAAGCGTGATGCTGATCGCTTCTTCTTCGTCTTCCTTTTTTTTTTTTTTTTCTAATGTGCTGCCTCCTAGCGAGTCTTTTCCTATACCTACACACGTTCAGGCATTGGTATCTATTATTCTGTCACAAACCAAGTAAACAAGTGCCCATAAATCTATCAGGCTGAAAAGGAGCCAGGGATATCCAAAATCAGCGCTATGCACGTGAGGGCAAGGTATATCCGCTATGATGTATGTATGTCTGAGGCCGGCACCAAGTCGACTCAACAAGAACAAATGTCAAAAAGGGCGGGAATAGTAATTACAAGATATAGGGTTGGCATCCAAGGCCGAATATGACACATTAGGGGGACTGCATATATGCATGAGGAGATCCGAGAATCGGGGCAAATAAAGGAAAGGGGTATCACGTAGACATCACATCATAATCAAAGCACCTGTCCCCTTCTCTTCGTCCGGGTGCACCTCCTCCTCAAGCGCTGGCAGCTCCGGTCTGCTCGGCCACACAGATGGCCGAATCGCGCGTCTCATAGTTCGGGTCGCTGAAGGATAAAGGGGGCAAGGGTCCGTACACCTTCCCGTGTTGCGTCCCCAGTTTGGTCCGCAGAATGGCCTCTTCCAGGTTCCATCGGTGTATCAACCGTGCCTTCTTTGCATCGAACGCCTGGACGACAGCCATCTCTTCCTGTTGATGGGCTTGTTGCATTTGCGCAAACTCTATAGCGTGTTTGTCGATCAGCTCGTCAAGTTCTCTTTCCATCCGGGCAATGGCCTCCTGCAATCGCAGCTCCTGTCGGTCGCGGAGCACTTTGATCTTGGCCTCGTGTAACTGATCCATCGATTTGTGGTCGTGGTACTCCTGCGCTAGCTGGGCCTTGTGTTGCGCGGTGAACTTGCGGGCGGGGGTGGTCTCCGGCCCTGACCCTGCCCCTCCTGGCGACGGGGGAGGACTGGAATTATTGAAATACCCCTCCATGTGTTTGATGCGGGTCCGCGAATTCATCTTCGCCCGTTCAAACTCCCGCATCTGGTCCATCTCGATCGTCAGCTGACGTTCTTCCATCCGAGCAGCGTCGTTGATGTTCTTCACAGATGTTAGCATGACGAGTTTCGTTAAGTGGTACGAGGGCGTACCTTTTCGCGTTTCTGCGCCTCAAGATCCTTGTTCGCCGCAAGTCGTTCGGCAACAATGGACTGCTGAGTTTGGCGAAGACGCATCGTGAACGCATCCTGGAAGAGATTGTGTCGATTCAGCTCCATCACTTGACGCTCCCGCATGAGACGCAGCTGCTCGTCGTTCTGACTCCGCTGTAGGGACTCATGATCGAACGCGGGTATCTCAATCCGCAGCACTCCGCTCCCGTCGCCGGATGATCGGGCTTCCTGCGACTCCGACGGCTTGGATTCCACCCGAACCTGCTCGATCCCCTTACTACCCTTGGCGATAGTGATTTGCGCCGCCGGAGGCAGGAGCACGGCCGACGGCGACCGCTTCTTGCGAAAATGGATCTTCTCCATCGCCGACTTCAGCGTCGATTTCCGTCTTTCCTTCTTGTCGCTCGGGATCACGCTGATCATCGAATGGCGGTTGCTCGGCGGCGCCCCCGCGGCCAAATTCGTATCTATCCCCGGGATCAGTCTCCCCTCACATGAACTATAAGAGGTCGGTCGGGTGGACAGTGAGGCGATCGAGCGAGCACTACCATTGTGGATGGGTTCGGAGGAGACAGTGAACTCGGAGAGAGACGAACCGAGGAGATCGATTGCGGTGGTCTGGTGGGACGGTGTGATATCGTATGCGGAGTTGCGATCGGTGGAGGATCTGGTGGACGAGATGATCGGTGAGGACGAGGAGAGATCCACCATCCCAGAAGCGATGGACGCGGTCAACGATGCGACCAGCTCGACCTCTGGGACGTTCAGACCCAGCTGGCGGGCCTCATCGATCAGTTTTTGCTCCTGCGCCGTCTCGGCTTCCTCAGAAGGCAGTTGGAGAACCTCCCGGCGGTAGTGAGACTCATCGATCTCTGCGTAATTAGGGTGCTCCATGATGCGATTGCAGACGAGCTCTGTTCACAGTCACCCATGGAGCTTGTATGTATGTGTGTGTGTGTGTGTGTTTGTGTGTGTGTGCGGGAGAAGTGAAGCTGCGGAGAGGCACGGAAACAGGTGAAGGAAGAGAAGTGGTGGTGAGGGGTAGAAAAATGATATATAGAAAAATTAAACAATGACGATAAGAGACAATAAGGGGGACGGACGGAAGTTTCAGGGACACGAGTCGCCAGACGCTAAGACACTCGTCCACAGTACTAGAAGCACGGTGGACGAGATGGAGGCGCCCAAGAGCAGCATCCGACTTGCGGGGAGGGGCAAAGTAAGTCTCCAAGCAAGACACTGGGTGGGAGACAGAAAGAGAGAGAGGAAGAGACTCTAAGGAACACGCCGCTGGCAGAATAGGAGAACAACAAGAAAGACCGTGGATTGAATGAGGAGACAGACTATCACCTAGAAGTGGGCTAATGAGAGAGCAGATTACTCCTGCTGCTGCGGGCCAACTGTGCGAGCAAGCACCACCAGGGACTGGGAAGCCAGGACAAGCAAGCGACTGGAACCTGATTTGGGCCTCAAGTATCCGTAGGTGGTAGGTAGACTAAGTAGACTAACTTGCCAACTTAGCACTGAGTAGGTGGGTTCTTTTGTTTCGGTCATTCATGGGTTCCATATTATTCATTCATTCATTATTGTTACTGAGTATAATTGCGGATTGCGACCCACGACCCGCCTGACCGAATGATTCCTGATTCCTCCGGTCCATCCATAGGTCAGTCAATTCAGTAGTGGGTAAGTTGGTTGTGATCAGACCGTGCGTCCCTGCGTGCATCCGAAGTCAAAGAAAAGGAGAAAAAAAGAGAAAAGAAAATTATGATTAATCTTTGAAGCATGATCGATCGTCTGCAGTGATGCAGTGATGCAGTCAGTGACAGTGACAGTGACAGTGCTAGGAAGGGAAGTGACTCCGGGGAAAGGAGAAGCCGTCAGAATGCTGTCACGGCAAGTCGGGAAATCGGGAATTGACTGACTGAACCTTAGTTAACTTAGTTACTCTTTGCTAGAGGGACTCAGCTGCCCGTGCCCTGGGCTGCCAGGCTGAATGAGGATTATTGTTCAGCGCCGATTGAAGGCACCCCCGTAACTCGCCCATGGTCGGAAGTAACAGCCGCCCGGATTGGGCCACTGAATAGGGCATAGGGTAGGTCAGTTCAGGGCAGGTCAGGGCAAGTTCAGGGCAAGTTCAGGGCCAGCTGCAGATTTCTCGGCGCTACCCAGAACCGTGGTTTCAAACCCATGGCCGATGGAGTCCACCGTCAGGCACCGCCGCTTCAGATTCCCCTCGTCTGCACACCACCTGACCATCCAGGTTCCACTGCTCCAGATCTCTTAATCTCGCCGTCATGGACGTTGGGGAACACTATCCAGGACAGTACTAGACTTTAACAGGGGGAGACAAATAGTGTCATGATCGTCCCAGGTTAACGGCTTCTAGAGAGCTTCTTGAGCTCCGCTTAGTGCTTTTCTAGGCAGGAGGGGATGGCACGATGTCTTAGTCTGGCTCAACCATCATTCCAGGAGTTCACCGCATCAGTTGTTCCCGCATTCTGACCTGCATGACCCCATATGTACGATCTTCGGATTATCACACCATTAATAATATTGGATTATGAGATTACATTTTTTGTTTTCAGAATTTATCTCAAACAAAAATTGCTATGCGGACTGTGATTCTCCGAGATAGAAAGCTACTCTCTCTCCCCCTCCTTTCCCTAACGCGATAGCATCGCCCCAGCCATTGCGTATGTCTTCTCTCTAGCATCCCACTGGACGGAGCCCGGCAACGCCCGCTTATCAAAGCCGTGCTCGCAAGCTTGCATACGCACTTGCACCACCTCGCGCTCTTTGCCGGGCTCCTTGGCGATTCTCTGGGCGAGGGTCTCCGCCTCAACCGCCAGGCTATCACACGCCGCCGTCACGATCATCACGCGATCAGGGAAGCGGTCCGGGCTCGCATAGAGCGGTGAGATGCGGGGATCCCTGGTATCAAACGCCCCGTGCGTGTAACATGCGTCGAAGAACCTCGACATGAAGAGCGGAATCGCTTTCCCGGACGTATCGGGCGGCACCTTCAGGCTGGGGTCCGTATGGATGTCCACGACCGGGTAGACCGCGATCACGGAGTGGAAGGTCTCCGGGGGGAAGAGATTCGCCGACGCCGCCAGCGCGAAGTTCCCGCCGGCGCTGAACCCGGACAGGGAGACGCGGCTGAGGTCGAATCTGTCCGGTTGGCTGAGCACCCACCGCACCACATCCTCCGCGTCATTCAGCGCCGCGGGGAAGGGGTGCTCGGGCGCGAGGCGGTACTGGACATCGAGGACGGTCCGGTCGGTCTCTCGACTCATCTGCCGACAGAAGGGGTCGTCCGCGCCGTGGCGCGGGAAGATGAAGCCGCTGCCATGGAAGTTCACCAGCACCGGTGTGGGTTTGGCGGTGGGAGACGATGTGTTGCGATACAGGTGGACTTTGATCGTTCGCCCGGCGTCGCGCGACTGTATTTGCAGGACTTCATCGGGGCTGGCGTTGGGGAGTTTGCGGGCAAAGTATCGCCTGAAGAAGACGGCGAGGAGCTTGTAGTAGAGGTAGGTGAGGAAGAACATGGTGTGCGTGTCGACAAGGTCACAGCGTCCCACCGGCAAATAGGCAAGGCTTGATGATTCAAGCAATGGCTTATCTGCCAAGAGGGTGTCAGAACCTAGGTTCCAGCTGCATCGACAGGCACCAATGATACATTAAATAGGCGTGTTACGTAGTCGGTAGTTGGTGGTCGGTCCGTCTGTGCCGTGGAGCGGACGCTCCACTCGGACCGATGACGCCATCATTTTCCACCGAGGCCGATGCTAGAGTAAACCAAACCACTGCAGGATAAATGCAATTGTTTCTTTGCTAGGAGTACGAGTAGACGGCATTCTCTAGAGGCACGAGTTGAAATTGCCTTGCTAACAATACAGGGAAGAGGTGGATATACTATAATACTTGGAGAAATAACTGAGATACCTGAGATACCCTGAAAGACACCGCTCTCCACCGCCAAACCTAGTAAGTTACACACTGCAAAGCATTGGACCTTCGCTATATTGCCGGGCCCCTTTTCCCCCTTCTACTTCAAGAAGACAGCTACTCTTGTGCTCCCGAATTTTCGAGGTCGATTGAACTCAACTCATTTCTAGCATGCTTTGTGGTCAAGTCAGCTAGGAGCCTTATGTAGCAATGAGTTTGGAAATGGTCCAACGTTTGTCAACCTGCGATAAATTCATTTAACAGACTCTAGGCCGATAGCGGCCTCCTCAATCGCATTATGTGCATTGTAGCCTTTCAATATCAATTGGTCCTACCAGTCAAGAAGTCATGCGAAAGAACGGTTGTTCAATCGTTATCTTATCGCCTCCCCTCGCCGTGCCGTCATGTCTGCTCAGGGTAAGGATTTACAATAGACGTGCTGTCCGATGCATCCCAGAATGAGACAGACATCTACTAAGTACAAGCATTCGGTATTATCCTTATCTAGCTTCTTTCAGTCTGCTCCTACCAATGAGAAGAGTAAGATACTTAGTTAAAGTCTGAGTAATATGACTCCTCTGCCACAAGCCTTCTGTGCCCCATCAACCAGGCAGAAACACTTAGTCTGACGGCAACCTGGAACTAAGCAACCATCCTTGTAGATTTGCGGGGTTATTTAGACCCCGTCTGGAAGCACCCAACATCCAACATTCAACATCCTTCCTCTCCCAGCACTTCTTACCTTCCCATTATTATTCTCAATCTCACAGCAGCCGACTCACTAGCTACACATATCCCCCAGAACAGAACACAACAGAAAAATGAACAGCCTGCCCCCCGCGCAACGACGCCCGCGCCGCCGTCGCGGCAACCCCCGCTGCGGCCCCATGCCCCCGCGCCGCCTCTCGCCCTCCTCCTACCAGATCCCGCAGGACCTGAGTCCCTCCCTCCCCGCCATCCAGCAAACCGCCTGCCCACTATTCACGCACATCCCCGCCGAGATCCGCAACAAGATCTACTACTACACCCTCGAGTCGTCCTCCTCCTCGTCCTCCTCGTCCTCCTCCACTTCAGAAACTGCATCAACCACCTACGCCCAGCAAGCCCTCTACTACCGCCCCGGCTTCAAGGCCCCGAAACGCATCTCGACCGCCCTCCTGCAAACCTGCCAGCAGATCTACAGCGAGGCCTCGCTCCTCCCGCCGGCCATCAACCGGCACACCTTCTGGTGCCACCGCCCGCCGCCGCACGTCCGCCACGCCGCCTCCCCGGCCGACTACTTCGCGCGCATGACGCCCAAGCAGCGCGGCGCCGTGCAGGAGCTCCACTTCTTCACCCAGCAGTATTTCCTCGAGGACTCGTGGGCGCAGGTCTGGGCGTCCGTCCGGGAGAACGAGGCCTGGCAGGCGCAGATGCGCAAGGGGAAGCGGAAGCTGGAGGAGGCAAACGCAAACTCTGGCGAGGGGGACCGGGGCGGCGGGGAGGACAACCACCCTGGCGATCGCTATCAGGAGAACGGGGTGGAAGGCCGGGGGAGCAAACGACGCGCCGGTCCAGCATTACCGTCATTGGGGCTGGAACCCGACGAGACCTCGGATGTCGGGGTCCTGGCCCCGAAGCGCTTGACCATCACGCTCAGGCATACGGATTGGTGGTTCTGGGAGCATAATGAGCCGTTGGGGATCGATCCGTTTCGGCCGGGGAGGACGAAGGCGGAGGAGATGGAGATGGGTGTTCGTGGGCAGCAGCAGCAGCAGCAGCGGCGGCGGCCGTTGACGGCCTGGGAGGAGGGCAGGGTCTGGGGGAATCAGTTCAAGCTGTTGCCCAGTTTGGAGGAGTTGGTGATTGAGTTTGAGACGGTGATGCGGAAGAGGGACCAGTTGGATGCGATTGTGCAGATGGCGCGGGACTGGCGGTTTCCGTTGGTGGTTGACGAGGAGGAAAACGGGGAGAAGGTGTTTCTGGTCGCGGAGGAAGGGTCGCGGCGCGCGTATACGTGGATCGGGGCCAAGGAGGAGATCTTGCGAGATGTGGTCATGGGGGCTGCGAGCAGGGGCGGGAACGGGCAACAAGGAGGTGATGCTGGTGATGCTGCTGCGGTCAGGCCGCCGCCGAGGCTGGTGCCGTTCGATGCGGAACAGGAGTTCAGGACCGCTGCTGCTGCTGCTGCAGCGAGTCAATCACAAAAAGGCGAGGGGGATGCTACTGCTGAGCAGAGTGAGCCGAAGAGCAATGGAGATTTTGATCCGGCGACGGAGGAGAAGTTCTACGTCGTCTTTCTAACGTGGCGGAGGCAGCGGATCAATTGACCTTGTGGTTTGCGAGATCTAATTTGAACATAAGGCTTGATCGGGCGACTTTTATCTGGCGGTCTATGCCCTTCGGTCACGATATCACTTGAAATTCTTATGGTGTTGGTAATGTGTACTTTATTAATGAATCAAGCACATATTCAGATTCAACAGCGGGTGCAACTCATCTATCGTTGAAATTATCCTTCTTTCAAACATTACTTAGGCATCTTAATAACATGTTGCGATACATAACTCCATAACACATGCACAGCCGTAGATGTCAGGGACCCAGCCCTGCCTGGGTCATCATGTAACCGGGAGGTCAAATGCTCCTCCCACGCCTTGGCTTGACATAGCCCAGAAGGTCCAACAGGGGACCTTCCCTTCCGTTTCTTCACTTCCAATCAATAACCGGCACATAACAAAAGAACCAGATCACAAACTCTTTTGACTTCTGCCTCAATTCGACTGCCTCACCGGTCAAACTTCTTCAGTTCCAAGTACCGCAGCGGCGGGTAGACGAGCATGGCCCACGAGCAACCGACCCAGATGCCCAGATCGGCGCCGTCGGCGCCCACCATCTTGGCGATGGGGCCGACATACCAGATCTGGTCCATGCAGACGATGGCGCCGGCCCAGCCGATGAGGAAGGCGGCCAGCGCCGCGAGGCCGAGGGGCAGCTTGGCGCGGTCGGCCCAGGCGTCCCAGTCGAAGCCGCGGGTCCGGCGGAAGATCAAATGCTCCTCGAGCGCAATCGTCAAATAGATGGTGACCCAGTAGCCCATGAGGGCGAGGAAGTTCTCGAAGATGTCGTAGAGGTGGTTGCGGCCGCCGAGGGCGCACGCGGTGTAGATGATCGTGCTGACGCAGGCGAGGGTCCAGCGCGGCAGCCGCGCCAGGTGCCTCCCCATGATCTGGAAGCCCAGCGTGGCCGAGTACGTGCCGGGGATGTTGTTGGAGATCAGGCCCAGCGCGATGATCACCCCCAGGAACTTGCCGAACCCGCCGAGCCCGTCGTAGCCGGCCAGGATCAGTGCCCCCGAGGACGTGTCGTAGGCGTCGGCCCACGCCGGGTTCGTCAGGGTGCCCGAGGCTAGGCCCACGCCCATCAGGTTCGCGAAGGTTAGGGACAGGCCCAGGCCGAAGAGAACGGACACGAAGGTCTTCCATTTGGAGGTGGTCGGTGGGAAGTAGACGAAGAAGTCGGCGCCCGCGGGAGCCCACGCGACGGAGCTCGAGAGGCACAGTGAGAAGAAGGTCAGGCGGTCCGCGCTCAGGGTCGCTGTGTTCCCGCTGGACACGATGGAGGTGTCGAACTTGGGGCCGGCGCAGCCGACGAGCACGAACATGGCGACGAGTTGTGGCGCCCAGGCCCATCTGGGATGGTCAGTATACTCCCGGGACTTTGGGGGAATGGGGAACATAAGATGGATGGGCTTACCTTTCATAGGCGTGAAATGGCTTCATACCGAATACGACGACCAGCCAGGTGATGATGGCGACAATGATGATACCAACGACAACAGTCATCTTCCCGTCGGCCACCGCAGCCAACTTTTATGATTTTAGCAATCGCTCTAGAATGCTCCCAGTAGAAGGGCCAACTCACGATCTGACCACCAACCAAACAGTCGATCATTCCATATCCAAGCATAATAATGATGTTCAACAGACAGGCGATCTTGCTGGGATAATAGCCCATGAAATATCTCGCCACGACCTGGAACGCCACCTGTCAGCGTTTTCATCGATGTGCTATAGGCCATCATCACTAACCATCGTCCGATTGCCACTTAGCGGTCCAAAGGTCGCCATGTATGCCACCCCAGCAGCCCCCAAGAAAGAGCCAAAGGTGGCACAGAGGGCAGAGTCCACAAAGCTCAGCGAATATCCCAACGGGCCGTACATACCGACGGCGACGTTGTTGGCCGTGATACTGGTCGAGAACCACAGAACGCCCATTTTGAGATAGTCGGCTGTGGTCACAGAACTATGCCGTTCCGTCTCAGGCACTCTCTCGATACCTCGCTTCTCAAGTAGCTTGTGAGTGAACCTTGAAAACATGTTGGCCTCTCCTGAGTCGGAGGAGGCAGAGAGCGAAGCTCTCATGGCCTTCTCTTCGTCCTGTATGGAAGCGGCCATGCTGAATTCAGACTGCTTGGGGCTGGGGAGATTGGCAGAAGCCGTGAGTTGTTCCTCTCGAGTAGGGAGGTAGCGGCGAATCCCGAGAGAGCAACGGCAGTAGATAAGAAGATTAGGTCGAGAGTTGAGCTGGCCCAGCCTGCATGACGGGAGAAGGAACACGAGAAGAAAAAGGTACGGAGGAGTTGGGAGGGATATGATACCCTGCTTATAGAGCTAATGAGTTAACTATCAGCCAATCCTCTAATCAATGTAGCGACGGACATAGTCTTCCTTTTTCATCGCCAAGCCGGTTTAAGTAAGTTCAACAAGATTGTCAGAATTAATTTATCATCTTGGCAGTCTGGATTTTTTCTTGCATTTTTTTTTTCTTTTCCGCCCAGAACTTTTTGTCGGCCGGGAGTCCGGGACAAGCCGCCACTCAATGCTTAGGTGGGCTTAGCAATGCTTAGCGAAATGGGCTAACAACCAACTTAACTTCGGCCTCCCGTTGCTGACCCATGGATGCTGCGTGCCATCTGCCATCTGCTCCCTGCAGGCATCGACGCCTCGTGCTTTAACCCTCTTTGCTAGCCCTGTCAGGCTGCCCGGTCTTCTAGCTTATTCCCGTTCCAGAAGTCTTCATAGCACGGGTGCGGCGTGAGCAGGGGTGCAATTGTTCTTTTGTTCTGCTCTGCTGCAGGTGCGATTTAGTTCAGACGCGAAGAGGGACGCTAAGACCAAGCTGGGCCATGAGGCCGGTAGGTACTCGAAGTAGTCTGCAGTGGTGCCGCCGATGCCGTTCCGATAGCAGCTGCTGCCAGATTTGTTGAGATTAGAACTAACTCAAGTCGCATTTGTGGCCTGAGAGTAGAGAAACCTTGAACACTACTAGGCTATCCAGGTCTTCAACAGTACACTATTGATTGGTTCGCCTGGTTGAAACCACGGTCGGAGCAGCTTCCTATCGAGTACTGTCCTCTTGGTGGAATGACACAAATGTACAGTACTGTACTGCATGTACGTACATTGCAATACCTCAGCGTGTATGGAGCCAGCACGTGCCCCGCTTGACCGGGAGGTTTACCCGCCCTTCCGTCTGCTCCAGTCGCTCTCTGTCCTCTCCTTCCCCTCTACCTCTCCTTGGCCATCATTGGTCTTTCGCTCTAGTCCGTTCATTGCCACGGTCAAAATTTATCTCCACGTTGGCAGACTAGTCGCATGCTAAAAATCATACTCCATCGCACCTTTCCCCATTGCATTAGTCGAAGTTGGCTCTAGACCGACAACCCGCATCGATACCCGGAGCAACTCAAGAGACAGGAGGTTCCCCACCTATCATTCGCGTCGCAGATACCATGCCGAAGCAGTACACGGTGGCAGAGCCCAGGCTACAGCTATTTCGAATCGACTGCAGTCCTAGTCGGCCACTTGCGGGGCCTTGAAGAAAAGAACTACGAACTGCGACTTGCCACAAAACTTCCAATCAGTTTCTAGCCTCTCAAAAGTTTAGCCGGCTACCTGCAATCTTATGATTGCCGTTCCACGCTGTGGTGGAGGAGGAGGAACACGCAGCTACTCAATTTACGTCCAAATGAATCCCACTCAAGGTCGTCCGTTCTCCCACTTCTCCCATCATGACTCGTGGAGGTCGGCGGAGAAGATGGACAGGCCACTACGTATTGCAGCCCACAATCAATGAGCCTATCAAGACATGCAGCCCTTAACGAAGGACTTGCAGTGGGTATGAACCTGCACCGTGGTGCTTCTGGGAAATAATGATCGGATCGTCACGATTCATCTCCTGAGTCCTGACTTGGCCAGTAGCCTGGTGGATCTTGGGGTCTGGGTACGGAGAACCCCGACCTCTTAGGTAACACGACGATGGATGATCAGTCGACCCTACATAGGCTATGGGTTCTGATGCATCGAACAGCTGGAATGCTGCATGAGTTGTGCGTGTCAGCATGCATGTCATTATTAGTCAGTCTCCTCCACCAGCGTGCCTGATGTGCGAATTCCAAATGCGGTCCCGCCAGGTCTGTTGCTGATTCAGGGGGCACCTGCGCTCAAGGCTGGCAACGACAGCCCACCGTGTCAGAAATTGATGTCCAGCAAAATTAGATCCAGTCGGCAGTTGGCCAGGGACGGCTACCTACACGCTCATCGACGCTGATTCGCCACCACTCCGGCCGTACATGCCATGCAACTTGCCAGAAGAGCGGATGAAGGATGTACTAAATAGATTGCAATCCTGCAGCGGCCAGCCAATTCTTCAGTCTGAAGTGGGTCGAACTTTTGTAAGCACTTTATATCCCTCTAGACTTGTTGCGCCTCTGTCTCCCTTTTCATAAGAAGTTACTGCCTAGCATTTCTCCCATACTGAGTACCTGACTATGCTATCCTCATAAAGCCCTCGTTGTAATGATGGCCAGTGATGGCGGTGGCTCTGCGCATGATCTGGTGGTCACCACCTGGGTAATGTACAGCATCGCAATGCTGTTGTTTGTCGTGCGATTGTATGTATCAGATGCTGACTCGGTCATTTTGGTTGCTAATTGCTAACTTGCCTTACAGATATGGACGATGGCTCAGAATGCGCTGGGTGTTTCAGGTCGAAGATTACCTTATGTTTGCGGCGGTGGTAAGTTTGCTTGCAGACTGACGGGCTTGACCTTCTGGCCCGAAGCTAAGTCATTGTTCCGACTAGGCTTTCTATACAGCATTTGCCGTCACCAACATCAAGATTGCGGAGGGAGGAGGAAGCAATTTATACAAGCCTGGAGAATATGAAACCTTCACCGCCGCCGAGATCGCTGCGAGGGTCAAAGGATCCAAGATCGAGTTCGCCTCGGAAAATGTATGGTACAGTCTTCCACCATGGTACATTTGCAAAGTGAGACCTAACGCAACCATGATCCAGTGCCAGCTCTGCACGATCTATTTACTGAAGGCTTGTATGCTGATGGTCTACTTCCGACTCACGTAAGTTAGACTTCCATCGACTTCGAGCCAGAGTGTGTGCCTGACAGGAATAACCACAGAAAAAATCTATGGCAAAACCGTGTGGTGACCATTTGTGCTATATATACGTTATGCGGATGGATCAGTTCAGAGCTGGTACTATTCCTCGAGTGCAGGCCTTACTTGTCCGGCTACTGGACCCTACCTCCTCCGAATGAAATCTGCTCGACTTATCGTATCTACGAGGCTGTGCAAGCGGCTATGAATATTAGCTCTGACGTTGCAATTCTCTGTGTCATGCTCCCGATGTTTGCCCGCGCGCAGATGGCGTGGAAGACCAAGCTGCCGGTCATCGTTGTCTTCTCAATGGGCATCGTGGTGGTACGTCCGACTTGAACCTTACATCGCCCGACAAACTTTTGACTGATTCTCTGACTTGTGTCCAGCTTGCTTGTGCTATTACTTCCAAATATTTCACCTTTCGGGATATCTACGACACCAGCTATCAGTTTTGGTACCTGCGAGAGGCCTCCATCGGCATGTACGTCACGAACCTGCCTTTTGTGTGGTCTCTGGCGAGATCAACGATCTCCTTCCTCAAGTCGAGCAATTATGTCGGCCAGGGCAATTACAACGACCCGAGATACGGGACAACAAATCCTCATACCAACGAGACCCGTTCCAGGCCGGGCAACGGCACGCGTTCCACTCGACATTTTGCGAGCATTTACGAATCCCGCACGGTTCGTACGGAGATACTGTCACCATCGGAGAGCGAGGAGAACATCATTGAGATGGGTGGGATGGGCGGAAGCGTGACCAAATCGGCCGGGTCATCGCAGGAGAGTGGAGATCGGGGATGGTCCCAATCGGACGGTCATGATGACCAGTTCATTCGGAAAACTACGGAGATAGTCATTCAGAAAAGCTGATCAGCTGGCTATGCTGGAGAGCATGCTTTTGATGTACCGACCGAGGCAAGCGAATGTGTTGGGGAAACTGCCGGCAATGATCAGAGCAACCGTGGCCAGCACAAGCTCGAGACTCTCGCACAGCTAACGGGGTCTCATTCAGCTGCCTATCTCCGCTACAATTCCCACCTTGACCGGTAGAACAGACTATCGCTTTGGCCAAATCCACACAGTGTCCGTTTATTCCTCCGATCATCCATGCTGCTTCGGCCCACGCCCAGTTACTACTCATGTGCACGAGGAGATTGAATAGGATGCGTCAGCTGTCCTTATGGAGTCGATTCAGTGATCAGCGGTGACTTATCCTGGAATGTCAAAATATTATTAATACTATTTGAAGTCCCACTGTCCACAGTGGTAAGGCGAAAGAGGGAGTACGTCAGCCTGCGAGAGGCTAGCTTGCACTTGGTGGGCTAGCCGAGATCGAGATTTTCCAATCTCGCACTCCGCGATTACGAGGTTGATTGGCACAGATCGAACGATGCTGACTCCTTTTATGACTTTATTATTTAATACTAAACAGGATCTCGTTATTTAATACCTCACGACAATGGCAATGAATAATCAACTCAAAGCTCTTCATAGGCTGCTTCTGCTACAGGTCATAGACCGGGTCGCACACACCACATCCGAGATCCCCCCTCCGGTGGAGTAAACCATAGTTTTGCATGTGGGCTAGTGAGCTTATTCTGTCCCGGTGACGGATTCTGCCATGTGCTTAAGGTGTCTACTATGTAGTAAGCTGCCACTCTTCTATAAGTGATACAAGCTGCAATATCTCCGCTGGAGAATTTATGTTACAAGTGAACGCATGGCGCGCACTGCATCTCGACCTGCTACAAGAAGGATCGAGTCTGTGGGATTTGATAGAGATTCCCAGAATGTCTACTGCTCACTTGACTTGTGGATCTTGGAGATTCCCACTTATCTGACGCTAGCAGGTTTCAGATGTCTATAATTGCTGGGGCCTTTGCTAATCTTGTGAGGGGGAGATCGAAATACTCATAGCTTACATAGTTGATTTATTTACTAGATATATTGGTAATATTCTCTGAGAAGGGTTGTTTCACTAACTTGATGATCAGAAGCTTCCATTGTGGATGGAACATCATTTCTCAAATGAACTTTTGTTTTTTTTTTTTTTTTTTTTTTTTTTTTTTTGTGTTTAGATCGGTCTGGGTGGAAGATATATAGACCGATGTCCATTTGTGAAAACCTCTCCGATTGCATATCCAGCAGGATTAATGTAGCCAGTTGTGTAAGCCCCCATGCTATTGACCAAGTAATGTGCGAAAGAAATTGTCTCCTCTTAATCTGTATATTCATCAAGATGGAGGTTTATGTCTTGATTGTTCGCCGTTCATTTCTCTAAGTCGGTAAAGATAGAGTTACGGCCGAGAGAGTATATCAATATAATCGAAAATCAGGATCAAATTGCTTCCAATGCTGGGGCATCCGGTTTGGTCACTAGAATTGTCAATTTAATAAAAGAAGTAGAGGTGTCTAGCTAGAAGCCAGGCTCCCAGGCTGCCTCTACAGGTGCACCGCCACGTGTGTGGCAGCCGAGCACGGCCACGATATGATGCCGCCCAACACATCCCGTGTGGCGCGCATCCGTCACTCCACCGCTTTCATCACCATCATCGAGAGGCTTCCTTATCATTCATATGCTCAACGGTAGTGGGTCAAGGTTGCTGTTGCCATATTACACTTCATCTAGGGCTGTCGCTCTCACTCTTATCAACTAAGCTGAACTTCAAAATATTCCAGGGGTGGTAGCTACAATGAATCACTCCGGGGACACCAAGTTCACCGTCTTTATCCGCCTGCCATGCCCCCGGGGGGATTTTGTGGATCCTCCCCCGGTACTTATTTAGCCTATTTCATCGGAGATGGAGCAAGCGCTGACTTCAGTAGATGGAATGGAATGCAGCTAAGGATCAGGCTCTCTGGGATATCCTTTCGCGGCCCTCGAAAGGCGATGATCTAGATTGTTAGTCCTTTATGGAACCTCCACCCCATACTAAGTACAGCAACGGCTGACGGACCCAGGGAAAGCATTGTACCGACACATAACACCCCCTCAGTTCCACATAAATGCTGACCTTTGTCTGGTCACAGAGCAGATCACTTCGAAGTCACACTTCAGTTCCTACTCCAGCAGGCAGCATGGTTGTACGACCGTCAGCTATCACAAGTGCGCGCGCAAATGCGCAAAGTGCCGACCACGCAGTCAACGTCTACATCGCCCGCTCCCGGCTCGGTATCCGGCAGTGCTGCCCTCGGTCAAGCTAAAGCTGCCGCAAGCAATGGTATGGGTCTCTCAACGAGTCGATCTGTTTTCGTTTGCTGACTGCTCAAAGCTCCGAGAGCTCCAAGTCGCCTGGCGCAACAGAAGGAGTCCCTGCCGCAACGAGGTAAGTTGCATAGCTCACAGACTGTCCATATCAACTTGTCACTGTAAGCCTGGTGCTGAGGACAAGAAGCCCCGATCCCCAGACGCACAAGCTCGACGACAACCATCAATCAACTAAAGCCCGCCCGAGAGCCGTTGCGCGACGAACCACCTACTTCCGAGCCAAAAGAGCTAGGCCGCGAGGCTCATGCTCCACGGCCCTCCGCCAACCGACGAGATCCTCCGATTCCAAAGTCTCCAACTCTCGAGGAGGAAGACCTGACGTCCAGCTCGTCCGAGTCCGAGTCCGAGGAGGACGAGCGAGTGGACAGCCGACGGGGACTACGATTCAGACCATTCGGCAAATTCTCAACGTATAAGCCAGGATTGCGAGATGAGGGGGAGGAGGAAGATGATTCACCAGCTTTTCTCCCCCTTTCCTCCGGTCCAGCCCATACCCCCCACCATCCCTCAGGCTCGGATCTCAACGCCACGCTGCGGATGAACGAGGAGGACGTACCTGCAGTCTCCAATCGACGCCCCGCGGAACAACTCCATATAGTCAGAAAGTCTCCTACCGCGGATTCATCCACGAGCTCTGTCAGCTCCGGAGTCCCAGCATCGCATCCAGCTACCGATCGCCGGCGGCATATGCACCAAAGCGGCGGCCCTCTGAGCCCTCGTCGTGCCGCTGAGCTGACCCCCTTCAGTCCGCGGCGGTCGATTGCATCTGCGGGTCGAGAGACCAGCGATGGGACGCCTAGTATGGGAAGTAGCTTTAGTGACCTGGATGGTAAGCTTTGTGCGTTCACGGATTCTGGATGCATGCTAAAATTCTTGCCCAACTACAGATGCCAGCGTTACGCAGTCGGCGCTCGAAGAGGCTCTGATGAGCAATATGCAGCATGGAGGAATGGCAAGCCGCATGAGCACTTTTAGCCAGGCCTTACGAAGTCGCTATTTGCCTGGATCAGGGTTATGACTTTACAGCTCTCTCTTTTTTTTTTTCCCTCAGCATTTGCACCAAATGACTTCCTCAAGGAAAGGTTCTATCAGCAGATTGGGTGTATTCAAATCTACCAATGTCTCTTCGTATAATCTCGATTGAATGCAGAATGATCAATTTCGGTTCTTCGACTACCACATACACTGATTTCAATTGGCTGTTCTAATCATGACAAGTGTCATTTCGAGCTGTTATTGCCGTCTTCCTACCCAAAGGAGTTTCCTCGTTCGTTGTTCGGGGGGGCACTCAATACAATCACCGTGCTTATCTCCGCCGGGCTTGAGCTTAAATCCTGCGGAAGCCGGGGGCTTATCGCGACCTCTTCAGATCAGGACTAGCGCTGTCAGCACGACGGAGATAAGAACCAGGAGCTTGAGCTTCCTTTGGCTCGACGGACTCCAGGGCCCTGCCATCATTCTGCATATTCATGAAGCCCTATGAATAGCGGAGTCCTGAATTCGGTTACTAAGAACATGAGAGCTCGGTCAGCCGTTGACTACTACGCACTTACACCCTAGTTTAAGCTGCAAGATGGGCGATGGGAACAGGACTTACATCTCGGCGATAACTCAAACTAGGCCCCACACTTCTTGCGTCATGCCATGTCAAAGACCCTTTCGCAATCCTCTGCAGCCTAGGGTCCAAAGGGTATATATACGTGCTTTTGGGCTCTCTGTACTCGGCTCAACACTATCATTGAACATTCATCTCAATTGATTATATTTCCACATATATTTCTTCAGATCTAGACAACATGTCGTTTGCTCCACTTGCCCCGAAGCCCAAGAGCCTGCTTGGCTACCACCAGATTCTCTCTCCCACCGCCGGTGTCAAGGTAAGGACTATTATTTGAACTCATCGTGGCCCTGAAGCTGAACTTCGACAGGTCTCACCGCTATGCTTGGGAGCAATGAACTTTGGAGAGGCGTGGACGGAATTCATGGGCAAATGCAGCAAAGAGGACACCTTCGCTCTGCTGGACTACTTCTTCAATGAGGGCGGGAACTTCATCGACACGTGGGTGCCTTCTCGTCCGTCCTAGCGTCATCCCCTCCTCTTACACCCTCGATTACTAACATCTGAGCCCTCGCAGCGCCAACGCATACCAGTACGAAGAGTCAGAAACCTGGATCGGCGAGTGGATGCGACTCCGCAACAACCGCGACCAGATGGTGATCGCCACCAAGTACACGACGGGGTTCCGGACGGCGCACTTCGACACGGAGCCGCTGCAGTCCAACTTCGTGGGCAACTCAGCCAAGTCGCTGCGCGTCTCCGTTGAGGCGAGCCTCCGCAAGCTGCAGACGGACTACATCGACCTGCTGTACGTGCACTGGTGGGACTTCACCACGGGCGTCGAGGAGGTCATGCAGGCGCTCAACGCCCTCGTCGCCGCCGGCAAGGTCCTCTACCTGGGCGTCTCCGACACCCCGGCCTGGGTCGTCGTCAAGGCCAACGACTACGCCCGCGCCCACGGCCTGCGCCCCTTCGCCGTCTACCAGGGCAAGTGGAACGCCGGCTTCCGCGACATGGAGCGCGAGATCGTTCCCATGTGCCGCGACCAGGGCATGGCGATCGCCCCCTGGGCCCCGCTGGGCCAGGGCCGGTTCCGCTCCGCCGAGGCCCGGCAGCAGCATGAGGGGTCCGGGCGGGGTTCGAAGCCCACCGAGGCAGATCTGAAGATCTCGGAGGTGTTGGAGAAGGTTGCCGAGCGTAAGGGGACGAATCTCTATGCAATTGTGAGTTTGTTTTCTTTGCCTTTTGCTCTCTTTTCCCTCTTGGTTCATTGTATATTGTGTGTCTCTGTGTGTGTGCAACCCCCCGACTGACTTCCTCCAAATCCAGGCCCTCGCCTACCTCCGCTACAAACAACCCTACATCTACCCGATCGTCGGCCAGCGGAAGGTCGAGCACCTCAAGGCCAACATCGACGCCCTGAAGGTCGAGCTCACCAAGGCGGAGATCCGGGAGATCGACCTGGCCGCCCCCTTCGACCCCGGGTTCCCGAACACGATGCTGTTCGGCGGCAACGACAAGTACGACGTCGGGTTCACGGCCGCGGATATCTCGTTGACCAATTGGGCGGCGCATATCGATGCGCCGGCGCCGCAGGAGGCTGTGAGGCCGCGGAAGGAGTGAGTACAGCGCTGGCTGGTGGGTGGTGGAGGCCTAAATGTGTACATAGTCTATGTGTGTAGTGTGCAAATATGGAGTTTTTGTCGCGTTGTGAGTGTGATATGTTTGGTTGGTGGGGGGGGGGGAAGATGGGGGCAGTAGGTAGTAGATTGTTGTTTCATTCAGACATTATCTGGTGATCGTGTTCCTGGTACCGTACCATGAAACGTTGAAGTAGGACTACAACTCACATCAAGACGCGACGCTTGCTTCAAGTTCGACGGATCTCAATATGAAACAGCACAGCACGACCATCCCGCCCACGTTTCACCATCGCAGACCCCCCGTTCTACCACGGTCGAGAACCTCGGAACCGTTGCAACAGCCATTAAGTCTGAAACTTGATGACGACGAGGGTCGATGACATTCTAGATTGCGGCAACGGGCTGTGACTTATGGTGGAAAACGTGGGCGCAATAAATGGTTTCCCGGCTGTGGAGTGGAGAACGGCGGGGTTTATTCTACACCTTCTACTATGTACCTATGTCTTTTGACAAGGGGGCTTGACTTTTTGAACTTCGAACTACAAAATTAGGGGCCCGGATTAAGATCCTGGCGCAACACACTGGGCAGTATTAAGGTTCGTTTCTATCATTCTGGTGGGTGGGTGGTGGTGGTGGTGCAGTCAATTCCAGAGTTAGCCGGAGTCAAGAGTTCGCGGACAGACGATTCGGAAGCTCGAGCTTAAACAACGAGGAGTCGGTGGACATATAGCCGGCCTAGCTGCGCAATGTCGTCTTCGAACGATGGATTGAATTTTGACCTGGGATGCCGCACGGGTTTCTGCTCTGCCCGTTGAACAGCCGGTTCGGCGATTGGAATGGTTTGTATGGTTCGCATGGCTTGGCAAGAAGCAACTATCGGGAATTTTTGGCGCTCTGGAGCGAGGTCGCAGTACTAGGTGCTGTAGCTGGTCGGCATATTTTGACCATCTGCAGAGGTTGTGCGATGACACTGCCGTCTGGGGGATGAGGCAGCTGGTGTCCGTCTGACTGATGAGCATTGTAGTCTGATACCTCAGAGAAAGCAGAATTACTGAGGATGAACGAGGCCAATGCCGAGGAATAACTCCGAAGGCGGTAGCTCCAACTGCCCACTGCCCACTGCCCACTGCCCACTGCCCCTCTCCTCCCCTCCCCTCCACGCCCTGTCAGAATGTTGAGGCCCCGCCCTTTCGTTCAACTTCAACTCAACCAAGCAACGCCTTTACGGATCAATTTGTCAATAGGTATTTGCCATCCATCAAGTGACATTCTGCGAGAGTGTCCTTTGATCTCTTTGCTGCTTCCCTCGTGTCAAAGACTAACCCCACAGTTCACCATAGAATAGCGCATATCCGCATCCATCCTCCCCACTCGTTCAACGTTCAACATCGATCGCCGACTCAATCCTTGTCCCTTTGAATTGGTTCTATCTAGACGAGCGGTCAATCGAGCCCGCTCATCTCGCCCATCGATCCGTCGCTTCCCGCGCATCACTTGCGACCCATAAGGAGTCTGTTGGAAAATATTGGACCACGAGGCTCTAGGATATTGTCGGACGGAAGTCGAGGAAATTCGCCGGATCCCAATATGTCGTCCGCTCCGACCGCAGACATGACCCCCGCGGAGGCTGAGTCCGTCTACTTCAACAACTACCCCCCTCCCAAAGCTCTTCCGAAGCACGAGGCCCTGGCGCGCGCCTTCGTGGACTTGCATGTCCAAGCGGGCCGGCGACTGGTCCTCGTCACTTCCGGAGGCACCACCGTTCCTCTGGGTTTGTGAGCCGGGCACTGCGCACAGGAATCACGTCTAACCGTGTGCAGAGAATCAAACCGTGCGCTTCATCGACAACTTCAGTGCCGGCACTCGCGGTGCCGTGTCGGCGGAGTACTTCCTGCAACAGGGCTATGCCGTCATTTTCCTCCACCGTCAGTTCAGTCTGCTGCCATACTCGAGACACTACAGCCACTCGACCAACTGCTTCCTCGATTTTATGGACGATGACGAGTCCGACTCGGAAGACGGCCCGGTCGTGGTGTGCAAGGAATACCAGGATCAGATGCGCGACGTGTTGCGCAAGTACAAATACGCCAAACGAAACAACCTCCTCCTACTCCTCCCCTTCACCACCGTCTCCGAGTATCTGTTCGAACTGCGGTCGCTGGCGCAGCTGATGAAGCCCCTGGGGCCCCACGCCCTATTCTACCTGGCGGCAGCGGTGAGCGACTTCTTCATCCCCCGCGATCGCATGTCGGAGCACAAGATTCAGTCGTCGGAGTTACCGAGCCACCTGAAAAGCAGCAGCCAGGGCGAAGATTCGTTGGACATATACACCGGAGGACTGGAGCCGCAGCCGGTGCCGAACCGGAGCAAGAAACTGGTCATCGACCTGGACCCGGTGCCCAAATTCCTCCACCGGCTCGTGGACGGCTGGGCACCGGATGGAAGCATGGTGGTCTCCTTCAAGCTGGAGACGGACCCCAATCTGCTGGTGTACAAGGCGAAAACCGCCCTGGAACGGTATGCCCATCACCTGGTGATTGGCAACCTGCTGACGACGCGGAAATGGGAGGTGGTGTTTGTCACGCCGGAGCCTCCGTATGAGCGTTGGATCCGAGTGCCCAAATCGCGGCGCAGCAAGAGCATTTCCGGTAGCGAAGACCAGGTCGGGTTGGCCGAGGCGGCCAAACAGCGGGCGGGCGAAGCCGCGCTGACGGGAGAAACCAGTGGGGGCGGCAGTGGCAGTGGCAGTGGTGGTGCCCCCGATCGAGTCCCCGAGGTGGTCACCACCGCGGAAGAGGGGGTCGAGATCGAGAGTCTGATCATTCCTGAGCTGGTCAAGTTGCATTCCAACAAGATTGCCCAGTACGGTCGGTCGGCATAATGTTGTAGCATAGATGGTGATGGTGGTGGTGGTGGTGGTTTTGCCGGTTGCAGGAAAAGAGAGAGTAAATAAAGTATTGCAGCTGTTGGAGGTCGGAGTCTGTGACTGATTCTAGAGAGAAAGGAGCTAGGGACACTTCTTAGTGTGAGTAGCTTAAACCCTGTAGTGTGAGTATGAGCATACCCTCAGTAAATCCGTGTGAAGCAGGGTCCATTGCTTCCTCGAATAGATTAATTATTGGAAAATTTGTCCCCCTCGGATTGGGGGCGGCAGAAAAGGCATTGAACGCACGCTGGATTGAACCCGCAACGGCTTTTTCTTCCCGAGTCCCCTTCTCTTCTCCTTTCTTTCCCTTCCCCTGATTTCAATTCTAGCTCATGGCCTGGCCTTGAATCATGGTTCTACCATGCGAGCACATCTATTCTTCTATTCATAATGAATCCAATATCAATTCATCAACGTTGACAAGCTGGCAAGCTGACAAGCTGACATGGGGTTGGTGTTGGCTTCGCAAAGAAAGCTGAGACAGCAAACCGCCGGGCCTGTCAGGGGCGGTTTCAGGATTGCAGCTCCTCCTCAAACCATGGCTCAGTCGGGGCTGCTCCAGTCGGGCCCTGGGGGGTTAGTTAGGCCAACGCGTCATCGAATTGCTGGGCTCAGTGGGCTGAGAGTACTGAATAGGGACCACCGTTTGGGACTCCAGATCGTCTACTAGACACTGTGGGCCGATCTGCGCTTTGCCTACGTGCCTTCCTACGTCGCCATCCCCACGCCCCGTCGAAAGACAGCTTCATTAACCGTTTTCTCTTTCTTGGCTGCTGCCTCTTCTTGTCTTCTCTTCTTTCTCTTTCTTTCTCATCATATAGTGATCTAGTATCCTGTCTACTCTGTCCTTCTCCCCCCCCCCCTCCTCTCCTCTTCTTTTTCTTCCTCCCTCCTCCCCCACAGATTCTCACCCTCCGCTCCAAACCCTATCCTCATTCTTTTCTTCTAAGCGCCAGGCGACTGCGTTCCTACCCGTGCTCTCAGGAATCCGACCCCGTTGTCCGACAGTCCCCAGAAAATAAACACTCGAGGAGGTGAAAGCTGTCAGCGATTGAACCTGTCGACACGAGCCGCATTGATAGACACAGGAAGAAAATGATCAACGTGTTGCAATCAATCTGGAGGATCGGTCCATAATATTGCTGTTTCAGTCGCTTCTTCTTTTCTCTTGTCTGTCACTCACAGTTCAACTTGTCCCACTCCGCTGCAGGTCGGCTTCCGTACTGATCTAATCACCAACCAACCTCCTCTTCCTCTTTCCCCCTCGTTTCCCCTCACGTCAACCACCACTGCTGCGAGGATGTTCCGCCGCTCTCGTCGCATCGCAGCCCTCTCCGCCCTCCTGGGACTTATCCTCCTCTACCACTTCTACACTCTCCGCTCCGAGCTACATCCTCAAAAAAATGACGAGGCCCGTCGCACCCTTCCCGAATGCCCACCCCTCCCGGGGATGGAGGACGTCCTCGTCGTGATGAAGACCGGCGTCACCGAGTCTCTCGACAAAGTTCCCGTCCATTTCCACACCACCCTCCGTTGCGTCCCCCACTACGTCATATTCTCCGACTTTGCGGAAGAAATCGAAGGTGTCAAGATTCATGACGCCTTTGTTGGAATGGACACAACCGTGCGGGATACCGTCGAGGACTTTAACCTTTACAACCGCCTTCGCGAACAAGGCCGCGCCGGTCTCGCGTCCGCCGACTTCGCTGACGAGGCCAATTCCAACATCGGCAAACCCAACAACCCGGGCTGGAAGCTTGATAAGTGGAAGTTTCTCCCGATGGTCCAACAGGCGCTGGCCTATAAAGACGATGCGAAGTGGTACGTCTTCATGGAGGCGGACACCTATTTCTCGTGGCCGACGCTTCTCGCATGGCTCGCACATTTCGACTCCAGCGAGCCGCACTATATCGGAACCGAGACCCAGATCGCGGACGTCATCTTCGCGCACGGCGGATCAGGCTTCCTCGTCTCCAACCCGGCCATGCAGCTGGCTTCCAAAGAATACGCCGCTCGGACGGTAGAGTTGAACGAATACACCGATTGGCACTGGGCTGGCGATTGCGTCCTAGGCAAGGTTCTCGCGGACGCCGGGGTGCCCTTGCACTACTCCTGGCCCATGCTCCAGAACTCCAACCTCGGCGAGATCGACGAGTTCGCTACGGGCTTCTATCGCAGGCCATGGTGTTTTCCCGCCGTGGCGTTCCACCACTTATCATCCCGCGACATCCAAGATTTGTACGAGTATGAGCGTCGCAGATGGCAAGATGTACGTGCTACCACCCTATCTTCTTCCCCTGTTGAACCCCCACCATCTTACACATCCCGCGCCCCATCAGGTCAACAAACACATCCTCCTCCACCGCGACGTCTTCAAGGAGCTTATATACCCCGAACTCTCCAACGTCCGCGACAGCTGGGACAACCTTTCCGACCAAGAACGCCCGGACATCACCACCTTCCACGAATGCCAGACCGTGTGCGCCGACGCAGCCAACTGCGCCCAGTTCGTCCTCCGCGCCGGCGTCTGCTTCCTCGGCGAAACGCCCCGACTGGGAGTCCGCAACCCCGACGCTCGGTCCGGCTGGATCCTGAACACGATCGACAAGATGATAGAACATGCGCCACGGTGTGGTCGGCCGGACTTTGGTTTATAGACTTTTTCTCTCTCTCTTTCTTGCCGCCCCAAAAATCACACAAAACACTTGTCAGAACTATTCGCTGGCCGAGTAATTCATCCCCCAAAGCTGATGAAACTATTTTCCTTTTTGCGGGATGGTGGGCTTGGTGCTACCCGTTTTCTTTTATATCGGATTAGATTATCCTTCAGTTTCTCCCCACCGGACATCGTGCTGTTCTTGCCAATCCTCTGGCGAGGGACTATGCATGCATTGTGGTTGATGGCGTTCTGGGGAAGGGGTGTTTTTTTTACGGTTTTTTTTTTATTTTCAGCTTCTTATTCCTCGATTTTGGCTTGCATCCACACCAGGCGTCTGGGTTACAGAGGGAGCACGAACCACCAGAAAAGAAGTTCCTTGATTTTTCTCTACTGTGTGAGAAACAAAATGTCTTGTTGCATTCTTGTTTTTACTGTGTCCGCTTCAGCGTTTTCTTTTGGCCAAGCTTGCTTTTTTGTATCGTATACAATATGCTTTATACCAACTCATGCAACCACAAGTTTATACTTCCATCCGCGCTTCCAAGCAGAACATCAACATAGCGTAGCGTAGCGTAGCACAACAGGAAAGCCACGGATCCCAACCCAGGTACCCAGTTAATGGATAGGAAACTTCAGGGGGGGACTCCTCGGGTCTTCCAGACACTGGTCGATGCGCATGATGGTCTTGTTCTGGCTCTTGACGAACTGGATCACCTCCCGGAAGTAGCTGACGGTCGTGGAACTCAAAAAGTGCATGACGGCCAGATTGCCCCCGTGCCTGACGTCCCGGAAGAAGGCCTCGCGCTGCTTCTCCGGGGTCTTGGAGTCGGCCCACAGCCAGTCCTCGATGTCGACGCTCCAGGTGATGATCTGGGGGTCGGTGATGTAGTTCGCCAGGCGTTGGCGGGTGCGGGCGCCGAGGGTGCCGAAGGGGGGACGGAAGTAATGAGCTGCGTTTGGAAGTAAACAGTCAGCCAGTCGGGTTTGCACATCTGCGCCGTGTTTTGAGATAGGTGGATCATACTCTCAATCCCCAGTATCTGGCGAAAAGACTTGATGTTTTCGACGATCTCGCGGTCGATCTCTGCAGTGGAGCCTAGGCCTTCCATCCTGTATCAACCCGCTGGTTAGTCGCATATATTCTGGTGATTTGGAGAAAAGCACAAAACCGCCATGTCTCCACACGACAGTATAAGAAGGGGGACATACTTCCGATGCGTATCCGAATGCAGGGCGATCTGATGGCCGCGCTTGATCATCTCGCGATAGACGTTGGAGAAGTTGGTCTCGCGGTCGCGCAGGCCCAGGCCGACCACGAAGAAGGTGACCAGCACGCGCTCCTCCTCGAGGATGCGCATGACCTCCTGCGCGAAGCGGGGCTGGCCGTCGTCGATGCCGAAGGCGAACGAGTCCGGCCGCGAGCACGTCAGCATCAGCCGGCCGTTGTTCACGCGGTGGGGGACGGGGAACCCGACGGGGATGGCGGGGACGATCTCGACGCGGTACAGGGTCAGACTCTCGAGCGACCAGAAGCCGCCGAAGCTGACCGACACCGCCCGGCTCTGGTCGATGTGGAAGTGCGCCAGCGGGATGTAGATGTCGTTGCCCCGGGCGTAGCGCGCCGCCTCCACCACGTCCGACGTCTGCGGGAACGGGTTGCGCGTGAAGTCGCACGCCGCGTTGTGCTGGTTCACGAAGATCGAGAACTTGGTCGTCCCGCCGAAGACGACGTGCAGCGCGTGCGTGGGCTGCTGGCTCCGCAGGTCGTAGCACGACGACGCCGACAGCTGCGTGTGGTAGCTGTGGTCCGGGTCCGAGGGGAACAGCCGCACGAACCCGTTGCCGTGGTGCACGGTGAGTCCCTCGAGGGCCCCGTGCCAGTGGCCTAGAGCATTGATGTCTTGGTGCTGGAAGGTGTCGATCAGGATGCTGTTGGGCGGGCCCTGTGGGTTGTGGAAGGTGGTGGTGGTGAGGTTCAGGGTTGGTGGGGAGGGTGGGGAGGGTGGACGAGGTGGTAGCGGTGGTAGCGGTGGTGGTGTTGCTTGGGTTGGGGTGATGAGGGCGTTGATGATGAGAAGGAGGAGGAGCGAGAGAGTGGTGGACATGCTCGGGGCCATGGTGGATATCGTGGATTGCTTGTTAGAATCACGATCGGATGTGCTAAGCAGTGCTGTGATGCGGCGATGCATTGCTGTCTTGGTGGTAGTGATAGAGTGATCTTTTCGGTGTCCGATGTTGAAGCTGGCTCTGTGCTGGAAGGAGCTACGAGGTAATATGCTACAAAGTCGACTTTGGG